ATGTGGGGTTGAACGTCATCATCATCTTAGTAGGGAAAAGTGGGTGAGCACGCCTGTGTGTACATAAACATGTGTGTATATATGTGTACATTTGTGTGTTTGTAAACATGTACACGTGCATTCCCAGCTTGGTGTGCAGATGTGTATGTTTTGTTTAATGTATGTGTGTGTGTGTGAGTGTAATTGTACACGTATGTCTATGTATATATATATATATATATATATATATATATATATATATATATATATATATATATATATGTGTGTGTGTGTGTGTGTGTGTGTGTGTGTGGGTGCGTAGTGCATACCAGACCTCTCCCCAACAACCCTCACTAGATACTAGAGTACCAGTTTAAGTCATTTCTTTTGGTACAATTATCATTTAATAGCCAACATAATTGGAACAAAGAAACCAGACCACAATTATAGCTAATGCTGCTCGCAGTGGGCTGAACGTGGTCGATCGCATGCAGAAAGGGAGGATCAGGAGTGTACATTTAGCATCTAAATAACAACCAGATACACAGCCACAATACCAACAGGAAAGCACTGTCACAGCTAAAATGCAAAAGTTCAAGCCATCAAAATAGTAGCAGAAAAGCTGCTAAATATATATCATGCTAGCTGTACCCGGCCACGCGTTGCTGTGGCCCAAAATGGTGAAATGGAAACGAAAGAAAGTAGCTCTCAGCTAACAGTGTCTGTCATATCCCCCCCCCCCCACTCATCTCCCATCGACCCAGTCATATCTCCCTCCCTGAAGGATTGAAAAATCTTCCCTGGCAAAATTATTTAAAAAAAATAGTTGAGAAATGATAACTTTAAAATACTGTTTTAAGCTCTCTCAGTTAATAGTGTCTGGCATAACCTCCCCCCCCCCCAACCCAACTAATCATATCATCCTCTCCGAAGGATGGGAAAGTCATCATCTCACGAAATATTGTAACTAAATTGAGCTTGGCATTCGTGTCCACCCAGACTAAAATGGGTAGAATTAATTTGTAGTGAGAAGTACTTGTGGCCAGTATAACAGCTACCACATCACCTATGCAGTACCAGACTACTGCTACCACTACCACCACCACCATCACAACAACAATAACAACAACAAAAACTATCACTACAGTATGTGTAGGTCGGTGTAGCCAGAGATGTTAGTGCCGCATGCTGTTGCTATGGACTGTTTAGTTTAATTTTGCCCCCGACATAGAAAAACAAAACTTCATCACCTAACCAATGATGGAACCCACAATAAAATGTACACTATACTAACAAATAGCGGAGAAAAATACCCCGCACACGTCATCTCTCCCTCTCCGAAATGAGATTTGTAACTGACCTTGGCATCCGTGTCCACCCAAACTAAACTGGACTGCAAGCTGTCTTAGTTAACAGTTTCTGTCATCGTGGAATAGTTTTTGACTGAGAAGCGTCGCGATGAGGCTAACTGGGACATTACTGAAATTGGATGTATTTGAGTGAAAGGCCAAGATATCACAGTCTAGCTGTAAACCACAATACAATGTGGCAACCACCCTTCTAAGGGAAAAAGAACAATTATCACCCAGCGGGGAATTGAACACCGATCATCCGGTACTACCGAACACTGAAGAGTTTAGGTCAGATATCGCAGCCTAACTCTAAACCATAACACGGCCCTCTCGAGAGCTAACGAAGATTACCCATGACATGATTATTGAGCATCACGTCGCCGCTATCGCAGGCTAGAGAAAAAGGCATAGATATCGCAGCCTAGCCATACACAACAGCACAACGTGCCAGCCGCCCAGTTAAGGGACAAAATAAAGAAATTATATCACCTAGCGGGGAATCGAACACGAGTCACCTGCATAATAGGCAGATATTGCAGCCTAGCTGTAAACAACAACACAATGTGCCTACGGCTCTCTCAAGGGCGAATGAAGATTACCCGTGACATGACTATTAAGCATCACGTCGCCGCTGTCGCAGGCTAGCTGTAAACCCCAAAACAGAAAATAGGGGGGGGGGGGAATTCGCAGCCTAGCCATAAACCACAACACAATGTGCCAGCCACCCAGTTAAGGGTTAAAAAAAAATTATATTACCTAGCGGGCAATCGAGCGCGGGTCATCCGCACGATAGGCAGAATAGTTACCAACCACGCTATCTATCACTCAAGAAGATACTGGAAATGAAATTAAATAGTAACGCAATTCAAAAAAGAGCTCAACTGTCAACAATGGCCAATTAACTAAAAACAAATCCAGGCGGGGAACAAAACAAATAATGATTTGACCATTGCTGGAGCTACCTCGTTCGCGCTTTGTGCCATTTTCTGACAAAAAATCACGATTTGAGTCAAAGGCAACGTTGTGTAAAAATTTTAAAGCAATCGGTTCAGTAGTTTCCGAGATTAGGGCTAACAAACTCGGAAAGTTACGATTTTTATTAATATAGGTTTAGGGTGGTGTAGGTAGGGAGAGTCGGCTTTGTTTCTAAGTCGATGCGAACGCTTCTTAATGCCGGGATGCCGGGTTCCATCCCAGCTGCAAGCCATGCACCTTGCTTTGGTTTCCACAGTGGTATCAAGAAAGCCGACCGTCCAAAGAGCAATGGCAAACTACTGGACGTAATTTTGCCTAGAAAAACCACACAACAGCCACAACGAATCATTATCATGGTACACAGGTGTAACCCATAAGTGCTCCGTTATTCGTCAACTCAAGTCTGAGTCTGAAAAAGCTCAGCACAGTGCACAGGCTATGTAGCACCGGCGAGGATCCTGAAAAACTTTGGGTAGATTTTTAACTCAAAATTTTGTCCGGTCAGCGCCATTAGGTTACTCTTTTCGATTTCCGTCTGCCAAGGTTTTTTTTTTTTTTTACGTGCGCAACAATGCGAACGGGCGTCTGGTCTCATTACATAAATACCAGGGGGAATTACTAGAAGTCCCAATTCCACGTGAAAATTAGAGCTTCCTTGCTGCTTCAGTAGCCAAGAATTGTGCACTTTAGGATGATAATTTTTGCCCCTGACAGAAGTAAAATGTATATCACTTATTGAGGTTTCAAACCATGATAGCCTAGCGTTCTAACATAATGTGATCTAGTACAAATGTAGGCATTTCGTTGCACACCCAACCTCATAATACGCTTAGGCATCCATCACACCAAATCTCATAATCTGAGCTAGCTTACCAGATGCCCTATCAGTTCATATCAAACTTTGTAATGCTTAAAAATATTTTGAGCATAAAACTGGCCATCCCACTAATATTTTGAGCTAAGATGGGACATTCCACTAATATTTTAAGCTAAGACGGGAATCCCACTAATATTTTGAGCTCAAAACGGGACACCCCACTAATATTTTGAGCTGATCACGGGACATCCAACTAATAATTTGAGTCAGAAACCAGTCTCAGAAAGCTGTACAAAATCAAATGGCAAGATAAGATCCCATATACTGTAGTTCTTGATAGGGCAAACCTGCCTATCATCCACACGATACTGAAGAACAGTCAGCTCCGTTGGGTTGGTCATCTAACCCGCATGCCAGAAAATCGTCTCCTAAAGAGAGTATTTTATTGCGAGCTCCAGCAAGGGAAGAGGTCCCAGGGAGGACAAAAAAAAAAGCGCCATGAGACTCTCAAGACTGCTCTCAATTCTTTTGGAATCAACACAGCAAAGTAGGAGGCTGCTGCACAAGACCGTTCTGGGTGGTGTACGTCTCTCAGGCATGGTGCATCAGCCTGCCAGGCAGCAGAGGTTGCACAGGCAGAGAAAGGGAGGCAGGCTAGAAATAATTGTACTGCTAGCCCACACTTATTGCGGCTTTCATCTGTTGTCCGCACTGCTCAAGAACTTTTCAGGCTCATATTGGACTAATCAGCCACCTTCGTACACATAATCATTGATCATTACTGCTTTGGATGAAAGTGGTCTTCATCACTCGTGATGGACAAACAACAACAATGATGTGATCTGACTGACTGACTGACTTTCTACCTCACCAGGACATCACACAAGCGATAAACACCCGATGACACAAAGTGCCACCATGTGGATGAGGATCGCCGTGGAGAGGTCCCAGAAACCGCGTTCAGACAATTGGCCATATCTATGACCTGCCTATATTGCGGCCCCTGGCAAAAGCCAGGGTGGGGCTTCAAATAACAAAAAGATTTCGTCCTAAAAAGGACGTAACTAGATAGTAACAGAGTGCAACAATAAAGTATGATGTGATCTGATGTATTCGACACTTCATATTCTCTAGTGTATTTTTATTTTTGTTTAAAAACATTATTTTAATGAATTTAGCAATGTAAATGTTACAGATACTCAACGTGTGATATGGAACATCGCGTCTTCATTGAGTCAGAAATAATAATGATTATTTTCGTTTTTCATGCTCAGCTCAGACTTCCTAGTAGCTCATAGCGATTTAGAAGTCATCAACTATCTTATCCTCGCCCCAGTTATCTCCCCACTTTATTACGTCTTCAGTTGCCTCTACATGCCCAGCCTAGTCTTCGGCAAGGACTTCTTCGAATTGTCCGTCTTCTTCGAATAGTCACAGATCTAGTTTAGTGTCTACCAAGGACCTAAGGCCCATGTACGCAAAATCACCACTTGCGAAATGAGATGCCTAAGAAAAGCTGATAGCCAAACACCCTAAATCCAGTGAATAATGATACTATGAGACAGATAGTAGGAACGACAGCTTGTGGTTAATTCATCAAGAAACAGCAGATGAAGGGGTTGGGCCATCTGCTTATAATGCAGCGACATCAAATACCACCACAGCCATACATCTCAGTAGATCAGCTACAAGAGGACGACCATGAAAAAAATTATCGACAACATTAAAGACACTTTACGATCTCACAGCATGAAAATAGCCAGTGCCAGTCAGCGTGCACTGGATCGCAGATTGTTCCTCCCCTCGTCGCTTAACGGCAGAAGTGGTTTATAAAAATGATGAAGAAGCTACGTACCTTTAGCGCCTGTTTCTCATACCTGACACGCATCCTGGCCATCAGTGCCTACAGCAGCACAGAGCACTGGGGAATCAATCCGTGCATACTCCTTGATCTCATGGTCGTCTGGTAGCCGGTCATACATCTCTCTGCATTTGGACAGCGTCATAGTCGCCATGGCTGCCGTGTAGGGATATCGACTGCCCGGAGACTCTGTTAAATAGACATTAAATGTTGAGTGAGCACTGTCCAGAGATTGTTGAATAAACAGTTAATATTCAATTAGCACTGTACGGATACTGTTGAATAGACATTTAACATTAAATCAGCACTGTACGGATACCTTTGAATAGACATTTAATGTTCAATCAGCACTGTCTGGGGACTGTTGTATAGACGTTTAATGTTCAGTCAGCACTGTCTGGGGACTGTTGAATAGACGTTTAATGTTCAGTCAGCACTGTACGGATACCTTTGAATAGACGTTTAATGTTCAATCAGCACTGTCTGGGGACTGTTGAATAGACGTTTAATGTTCAATCAGCACTGTCTGGGGACTGTTGAATAGACGTTTAATGTTCAATCAGCACTGTCTGGGGACTGTTGAATAGACGTTTAATGTTCAATCAGCACTGTCTGGGGACTGTTGAATAGACGTTTATTGTTCAATCAGCACTGTCTGGGGACTGTTGAATAGACGTTTATTGTTCAATCAGCACTGTCTGGGGACTGTTGAATAGACGTTTAATGTTCAATCAGCACTGTCTGGGGACTGTTGAATAGACGTTTATTGTTCAATCAGCACTGTCTGGGGACTGTTGAATAGACGTTTAATGTTCAATCAGCACTGTCTGGGAACTGTTGAATAGACGTTTAATATTCAGTGAGCACTATCTGGAGATAATAAGTTTGAATCCCCAACGTCGGGCCATAAATAGACTGACATCGCCTTCAAGATCGACGCAAATTAAAATGAGTGCCAGCAAATATACTTGGAAGTTAATGCGACAAACGTGAGCATGAAAGGTTACCCAACTAGTGTCGTTCGGTATACATCAAAGCTATGAGGCTAGTACAAAATATCGTAATTCACAAGAAGAGGGGGAACGTGATCCTCTATATCACTTTAATTAATGCGGTAGATATCACAGAGGAAAAGTTATTTTATCAATGTAAAGACAGACTTATTTTCCTACCCCCTTTTCCTCCCAGTGATTCACATAGAATAGTAGATAGCACTAGAGCAACACTTAGTATAGCCAATAATGGTTAGTTGCGTATCCTCTAAAGGACGTCGTAGAACTAACAACAGCATTTTTTGGCTGATGTGGTTTCTTTCTATTAAAGTTTACATTCAGTAGTTTGCCACTGCTCCTCAGAAAATTATGGACACAGAAGAGAAGAAATGCTGATATTTTAAAACATCTTAATATGAAGATTGGTTAGTAAACATTATCTTGACTCAAAAGTGTAAATACTTTGATCATTTCAAGCACCATGGCGGATTGGGAAAAATAATATCAGAAGGCATGGTACCAGGAGGAAGGGGCAGAGTCCGACCAGCACAAAAATTGGCACAGGATATATGTGACTCCTAGAATGTGAAATTACACCAAATTTTTTTTTTTCAGGCAGACCATGATTAGAGCGACGTTCTTGAAAGGACCTGCTTCAGGATGACAAAACGAAGCGACCATGTTACTTTATATAAATTGTCTAAGGGTGAGCCAATCCCCCAGTTTCAGTGCATGGTTTCACGTTCAGTTTACGGCTATAGAAAGACTCTAAAATCATTGAAAGACTTACAAACGATGATCTCCGTAAGGAGTTTGCTACACAAATGGGCAAATACTGTGTCGGGAAGAATAAAACTATTGTGTAACACGATGTACAAAGAAAAGTTTTTACAGTAGAGTTTCACAATGTGCTGACCGCTAGTAATGTGAAATGTAACGTTGATTACAATGGATGTCCCAGTGTGAAAACGGATACAATCAGGAGCGCTGACATAAGGAGCATATTTTCACACTGTTTTTTACTAGGGAAATTGTGGATGGGGGGGGGGGGGGTGTTTGCGAGGCCGTGTTCAAGAGCTTAATAATAATAATAATGTGTTTAATGACAAATTAATATAATAATAGCTTGGTTTGTACATGATTATGTGTGTGTCTGTGGCGGGGAAAAAAGGGGAGGAGTGGGGGGGGGGGGGATTCTTCTTACACATTTAGGGAGGACTGCATTATTATAAAATGTTGTCATGGGAAGGTGATGGTCAGGGATGGAGGGGGAGGCTGAAGGTATCTAAGCCGTCAGGTTCCGACTTCTCTGGGTACCATACCTTACCTTGTGTTGCTGTTTAAAAATTCAGCAAATTTATGACTCGCCACCCTACACAGCATAACAGGATCATCCCTGCTTACTCCAGCATTTAGAGACATATGCTTACCCATAGTGGTTTGACCCCAACCAGAAACGTAGCAGATGTTTTCCTCGTCATGTAAGTCAGTGTGACCATCGAGGCAGATCGGGGACACCCTGTCGTTGATCTCCACGGTTTCATTCAGTCGAACCAGAGCCAGGTCGTACAGCAATGGCTCCTCTGTGACTGCAGGTAAATACAAATACTGTTAGCAAAGTACAATAAATGAACCCTTTCAGGCTGCATACGCTTGTATCATTGGCGCTAGCATTTTCTTGGTGTCAATCTTAAGTTAGAACAAGGGCTTCCAGTCCACTTTGCCCATCTGCACGCCTCCCACCAGCTTTTGTTTTTTTTTAATGAATGATATTACTGTCGCATGACAGCCCACGCCCAACGTCTACGGGAGAGTAAGAACGCTGTTTCGTTTTTGTGATGCTAGTACGCTTTTCTTACATATATATTCTTGTATTTGTTGTATACCTGTGTGAGTATAAGTATCCTATTATGGAAAGAAAATGGTGTTATCCCTATGTAGGTTAGCATATGCAGACTATTGCTATCACAAGAGAGCAGCATTAGACAGAACTTAATTTCTTTCTAGCCTCATAGCTGTCAATGGTGATCCTGGGATTGTTCCAGACCCGATCGGTTTATAAAACAAGAGTGTCGGTACTTACCCTAGTGTCTTTTACTAAAGCGAAAAAAAAAATGCTGATTAAAAAAAAAAGAAAAGATAACGGTACTCCATTCCGCTACTTACTAAAAAAAATAAAAAATAAAAAGAAATGACCAGTATCTATGGTAATAAGGCTCAAACTGCCAGTCTGTTGCTGGTTCACGATATTTCATTTAGTCTACTGTGACTCTAATGCCTGAGAGTGCTGATCATTACTCAACACTGGTACGACACATAGGTTGATCACCTACAACTATGACAGTGTGAGTCAGTCTATGAGATCTCTACTGTCAACGCCCACGTGCACCAGGACAAAGGTAAAGGTAACTAAAAAGAAAAGAATATAATAGATCTTTGAAGTGACTCAACCCTCTGCAACTGAGTCTGCCCCGACTCTCCATTTCATGTTCATGAAATAAATCTTTGTGAATATTCACTGGACCCCACTAGCTTATGTACGAAACTGTCATATGTAAAATATATATAACACCTATGTGACACCTATGGAAAGACTGGCACCCGGTATCGCCGGGGGGATAAACTGACATCTGGAGACAGATGTCGACTGTGGACCGGGTTGATCACCCCTAACACAGTATAATATCTCCGATTTCGTACGACCACATAGAAATATGCCCCCAGGGCCCTCCGAAAGGGGGGGGGGGGAGAATGAAGGGCCCAATCTAATTGATACTCTCGGTGACGACTTTGCTAGCCCCCGGACTCAGATACTCGCCCAAAGTCCGGGCTGGCTATGTACATGTGGGAAAAGCTTCACGGGGTTGCATGGTCTGAGAACGCATGCCGGAAGATTGAAATGCGAGGGTGCTCCACGCAGTAAACGCCGTCGCAAAACTACTACTCCTGTGGTAGTTTCTGAGTCGTCAGGGTACGACGGGCAGGGTGAACCCCACTCGCCCGGAGAGGCCCATGACGTCGACTGCGGAGGAGCACGTTTGATGATTTCTGAAGAAGTGCGTTTCAGAATCAGGGGCAGACAAGAATGCCCTCAGAAAACGGTTCAAAGCCGCTACAGGCAGCGAACGGGAGGGGCTGTACGAAGTTTGGTTGCATTTAAAGAACAAACACAGTGCCCTCTGTCGCGCTGAGCGTTTCTGTAACAACAGACGAAGAACCAAAAGGGAGCGAGAGAAATTCTTTAGGGACCCGTATCAGTTTGCCCGAGGTCTATTCGAGCAACCGAAGTCTGGGACTCTGGTTGTCAGTCAGGAAGAACTCGAGCTACATCTACGCAAGATGTACTCTGACAAAAAGAGGAGAGAGCCTCTCGATGACAATCCAGAGATCCTTAGCGGTCTCAAGCAGCCTTCGGTGCCGAAGGTACCATTTAAAATGGTACCTCCCCTTTGGTCTGAGGTTGAGGAAGTTGTTAAAAAGGCCAGCGGCGAGTCTGCCCCAGGTCCGAACGGTGTTTCGTACGTCTTTTACAAGCGCTGCCCGAAAATCCTAAAAATGCTTCACGTCTTATTGAGACAAGCGTGGATCCGTAATCACATATGTCCAGAGTGGTCAAAGGCAAATGGGGTCTACATTCCCAAAGAGCAGGACTCGAAGAGTCTTTCCCAATTCAGGCCCATCTCGCTGTTGAATGTCGAGGGTAAGATATTCTTCTCGGTCATGGCTCGCCGGCTCACACAGTATCTGATGACTAACAAGTACATAGATACGAGTGTTCAGAAGGGTGGCATTCCAGGCGTTCCTGGGTGCCTTGAACACGCGACCAAGATTTGGGAGGCTATCCAGAGAGCCAAGCATGAGAGAACACAATTGCACGTAATATGGTTGGATTTAGCCAACGCCTACGGGGCAGTCCCCCATAGGCTACTGTGGCGAGCCCTTCGCATGTTTCACGTACCGACACAGATCAGTCAAATGATTTGCGCTTCTCTACCTCGACGTTTACCACGAGGTGGACTGAGTTGCAGATTGGGATAGCTATGGGCTGTACGATCTCACCTATACTGTTTGTCATGGCAATGCAGATCATGTTAGACGGGGCGGCCGGCTACGGACAGGGCCTTCAAATAGGGGATCACTGGTTGCCGCCATTACGCGCATTTATGGATGACACGACTATTATAACGGGCAGCAAGGAGTCTGCCCGCACGATCCTGAAAAGGTTGGACGCGGTGGTCCAATGGAGCGGTATGCAGTTCAAACCGCAGAAGTCGAGGAGTCTGTCAATCCATAAGGGCAAGGTGTCGGCAACCAGTTTTACGGTGGCAAGGAACAAGATCCCTACGGTTCTGGATGAACCGGTGAAGAGTCTCGGTCGCGTTTACGATTCGAAGTTATCTGATAGAGCGGAAGTCCGGCGAATACACGAGTCACTGGCTACAGGCCTGCTCGCGATCGAGCGATGCAGGCTGATCGGAAAATTCAAGGTATGGTGTCTCCAATTCATGTTGATTCCGAAGCTCCTATGGCCACTACCAGTCTACGAGGTGACGATGACTGCAGTAGAAACCATGGAGAAGAAAATCAACACAGCCTTGAGAAAGTGGATTGGTGCACCGCCTTGTCTGACCGACGTGGCTCTGTATTGTAAGCAGGCTAAGCTGGTACTTCCGTTCAAATCAATAACCGAAGAGTTTAAAGTTGGCAAAGTAAGACTCGCCATGCTCTTGCGCGAGTCTTCAGACCCAAATGTCATCGCTGTCCAGCCCGCTCTAAAGACTGGCCGGAAGTGGAGTGTCCTCGATGCGATAGAATCTGCCCAGAATGCACTAAAATTGAGAGAGATAATGGGATACACTCAAACCGACCGTCGAGGCCTAGGGCACGGGAAGGTCAATTGGTGGTCAAAGGCCTCAGCCAAAGAGCGCCGAGACATGGTAATACAAACGGTGAGGGACAACGAAAACGAGGTTCGGGTCCAGAAAGCAGCCCAGCAGTCGCAGCAGGGCCTTTGGGTCAGCCTGGAGAGCGCATTGCCAAGAGTACTCACATGGGGTGAGATCTGGCGGATGACCCCGCTGCGACTGAGCTTTATCGTTCGTTCGGCGTACGATGTATTACCGTCCGGTGTTAATATGGTTAAATGGTCTGCGACCAAAGATCCGACTTGCCCGTTGTGCAAATCGAAGCAAACTCTTGAGCACGTCCTGTCCGCGTGCAGGAAAGCCCTAGGTCAAGGCCAATATACCTGGCGCCACAACAAGGTGCTAAAAGAGTTAGCAGCCGTTGTCGACCAGGCTAGAATGAGGGCTAACGCCAGAGCCAGTTCTAGTATCGTCCCCATTCGTTTCCTCAAGGCTGGGCAGGTTCCAAAAGGTAAGGTCAACCAAAACGCATTCGCTCCATCTGTGCTAGACTCTGCGAGGGACTGGTTACTGGCGGTTGATCTGCCAGGCCATGAACGGTACCCCGAGTTGATCCGTAAAACCGGCCTGCGACCGGACATCGTTCTCCATTCTGCGCAAAAACGGCAGCTCATCCTGATTGAGTTGACTGTCCCGTTTGAGTCGCGTATGGAGGAGAATAATTTGTACAAGCTCGAGAAGTACAATGATTTAGCAGCCGGTTTGAGGAGAAACGAGGCGTACACAGTACGGGTGTTTGCCGTCGAAGTGGGAGCGAGAGGCCTCGTTTCCACTTCGCTCTACAATGTGGTGAAAGAACTAGGATTGCGCGGTAATGAACGGAAACGAACACTCAAAAAACTGGGAGAGGCAGCCGAAAGGGCCTCTAGCTGGCTTTTGACGCAGCGCAACAACGTAGGGGACGGGCCTCGGTGAGCTGGTCCGGGTGTCTAGTGGAAAAGGGTTTCTCACCCCTTTGAAAGTCCATCGTGTCCGAGTTGTCTGCCAGTGTTCCTCTGCCAACTGCTAATAAAAGTCCAACATGTGTCCGGTAAACCAAAGTAAGCTTGACGCTCGGTCGTCCAGGCATGCTGACTGCTTTAATTAGGCTGCCGCGGCGGCTTCTTATCTCACAGTACCTTCTGCGAAACCACCAAGTCGTCTTGTCTCTGGCCGAAAGTAAAACACCATCCAGTAATCCCGTGCAGCAGGGAACCAGCCCTGAGCTTCATGAACTCAGGAGGGCCCACCTCCGAATGCGTCTAGGAATCGTGGGCCGAAACGCGTGTCGACGAGGATAATTTCTACTGACGACTGGTAGATTCCTGCTGTACTTGCTCCCTGTGAGTTTATTCCTATTTAATCTGTGTGGTGACTTTGTAAAGATCACTTACTATTATAGCTTGGATATAAGAACACGGAATCAATGAGTCGCTCTTGGACAAACGCATCACTCCTCGCCTTGGCCAGGTCATGCATGCCAAAGTATACCCGCCAAATTGTTAAGTTGCTGAGTCCATCCAGGAGAGCATCCCTAAAAAGATACAGAATATATTTTCTGTAATGTGTCATTATCACCATCACCACCCCTACCACGCCACCACCACCAACATCATCACCACCCCATCAACACACCACCAAACTTTCATCACCACCGCCATCACCACACTGCTACCATTACCGCCATTACCAGTATCATAATCACCATCAAATTTCCCTATTGCAGGCAACCGTTAAGGGAAATGAATAGGTAGTAACTGGTGGTCTACCGCTTGATGGATGTCATTCCGTAAGTCTTTTAACCTCTTTTAGTCTCAGGCAGGAGATGCTCCAATAGAATGGCCATTTCGCACATACTTACACATCGAGCCGTGACAGAAGAAGCGTACTCGTTGGTATCTATATCAGGAAAACATATACAACCAAACGGGAAGTAGAACTAGTCAGCTTCACATTATCACAGTCAAATATGGCAAGTGAACCTTGCGGCTAGAAAGCCTTCATCAGCCCATTAACATGGTTACGGTCTTAACTTATTCATTACCAAGCATCTCCTATTGCTTTCGTTGGTTTCAACAGGAATGATAAGACTTTTCAGAAGTCTGTTGGTCTACCCATTAACCCATTGTGCTCAAATTCTTACATAAACTCCTTATGCCAGGTAATGTTGTTATTTTAACAACTCAGACCCAAACATAAACTATTTAACGTAACAAACTCTTGCAATAGAACAAGTTCATATACCAACTCGTATCGTACAGACATAGATGAATACTTTATTCTCCGTGTGAGGTCCGGTTCTCCATTCTGAGGGGGAAAAGAACAGACCCACTGCCCCCTAACATGTCCTAAAAGTGGACGAACAGCCAGAAATCTCTGCCCAAGTTTACAGCCCGTAAATGCCAGGAACAAGAAGAACACTTTAAATAAGCTGCATATTCATTAAAAAACGTTGCCTTACCAACCCTAGCTTTTGTTAGCTGTTTTTTGGCATTACTATGCAGTTTTACATTGAGTAGCTGCATTCGCTTCCTGGTGACTTTCAATAACATGTCAAAATAAACGAAAAAAGTTTAGCTACAAATCGCTTGGCTGGAATCAAACCAGGTACTCCGGGATTGGAAACGGCATTCCTTTCATGACGTTGACCACATCACCCATCGACTGCTGATCAGTTTAAATACATTTAGATTTTGCACTTTATGCCAGATATGCCTGAGCCATATAAAGTGTCCTTAACTTGTGGCTAAGCCATATATAGTGCTCCTAACCTTACTTTGCAGACCATCTTGCATTGGTATCGACAGGTGTATTGAGAACAGAATGTTCAGTTGCAATGCAGAACTACACAAGTAAAACTGCCTCATAAAGCCACAGATTGAATAGACTTTTTAACTAAAACTAGCCGAAACTGTGTTAACGAAACTGAAATCTCCTGTTTTATTGTAAACAAAAAAATCACGTGATAAATTTGACGTTACTTTGGTAATCACGTGGCTGGTTTAGAATTTCTGGTTAGGAGATGTGCATCTTAACTTGACAATGCGAGTTATCTCTATTTCAAGGTAAATGGTTGATTTAATTAGGTAGAAATGCACCTAACAAGAAATAGCAAATGTCAGGGAATAAAGTATGCAATGTATTGTTTGTGCCCGCATTATTTAAAAACAGAACAACAAAAATAAAAATAAAAATAAAGGCTGTGGTTGTTTTTGCAACGTCCTATAAATGAGACCCAACTAATTTAATCTCACCTTACCATAGAAACTGCATTCGCGACCCCTAAGCCACAAACGATGACATGACAACACTTACGAGAAGCAATGAGCAGCTGTGATAACCCATCCTGGCGCCACAAGACTAGCTCCACATGTGTGCTTGAAGCCCGACTTTTTGGTGAATTCGAACTCTCTGTACAGGAGAATTGAAAATTGTTTATTATTACACCCAGAAAGACGAGCTTATAATTCTTTTAAATATTACCTTAAATTTCTATCATGCAACATCAATAATAATAATAATAACACATACAACCGCCACTGCCAAAACAACTGCTGCTTCTGTTATTACAAGCCTACTACATAAGCCTACCATTACAACTGCCGCAGTCGCATTTACTCCCACAAAGACTGAAGCTACTACTACTACGCCTATTACTATCACTAATTCTACCACCATCATTTTTACTATTCCAGCTGCTGCTGCTACTACTACATTTTGTACTAAGCCCACGACTATTACTATGATGAAAACAACGTCGACAGTAACAACTACCAATTGGTGTATAACAGCTAGAGCTAGAAATACTACTGCGATGTTGCTACTTGTTCTACTCCTGTTAATACTACTACCAGCCTATTGCCTTCCAGGAAAATTAGATTTGTGTGAGTGGAGGTAGTGGGGGAGGGAGGGGTCTGGGGGTAAACAGTAGACACATTTAAAAAAACCAAAAACAAATGCGTTGCTAAGTTAATTCATATACACCATTTTGACTGGTTCACCTAATGAATATGCAGTTATAAACCACGTGTTGATGCTGACACACCATCTATTCGCTCATGCATCAAGTGCATTTGTAGCCCGCTGTAGTGTTCTTGTGGCTATCGTTGCATGTTCACTGGTGCACCACAGTACCAGGTCATCGGCATACATTGCCATTTTGATTCCATTTGGTATCTCAGCAACCAGATCGTTGATGAATAAGAGGAAAAGTGTGAGCGACAGGACACCACCTTGAGGGACACCTCTCTCCAGATTTGTAGAACATTTCCTGTTGCCCAGCAAGCATTAAATATCTGTAAAAGCTTTGTTTTGGCTACTGGTCCTAAGTTTCTGATCATTTTGTTAGATATACCATCTGCTCCTGATAACTTCCGCATTTTCAGCTTTGAAATGGCCAACCCCAGTTCATTAAGTGTAACTGGCACCTCTAGCGCCTCTAATGTTATTTCTGTCTGACTTTTGGATTGTGTCTTTTCTTGAATTTCTTGTTTTTTCTCTGAAATGATTTAAATGTCGTTAAAAGTGTCTGCAAAGAGGTTGGCTGCCTCTTTTCCTGTGACCATGTTTCCATCTTTCTGCAGCGTGTTTTTTGAGTTCCACCATGTGTCCTCATCATTAATTTGCTTTACAAGCTTCCATAATCTTCTTGTGTCTTCTTCAAAGTTCAGTGACCTTGTTTTCTCCTGCTAGCTTTCCCTTCTAACGTGAAGCTTTGCCTTTACAAATTTTGCTTTTGCATGCTGGTAGTTATTATGATGTTCTTAGTTTGGTCTGCTCTCTGCTTTCTTTCTGGATATTTTCTAGGTCACTATTCAAGTATGGCTTATAATGCTTACGGGCATCTCTTGGTATTGATTCTCCTGCTGCCTGTAGTACGCATTTATTAAATTCTGTAACTACTTTGTTTATATCCTGGTCTACGCTAAGACTTCCAAGCAGTATACTGGTACGGTACTTGAACATTGTCCAGTCAGCCTTCTTGTAGTTCCACCTTGGCAGCGTACTAGTTTATCTGAACTTCTCATTTTCTACATTCAGGAAGACCGGTCGATAGTAACTGCCTCCCAGTTGTTTTCCAACAACTCGTGTAATGTTCCATTCCAGATCTGTCGAGTGTAATGCTAGGTCTAGGGTAGTAGTGGTGTGCCACGACCTCGAGTAGAATGTGGGTGGATCAGTTGGCCTATTAATTAATACAAGTCTGTTCTCATCCTGCCACTCCTCAGGTTTCTCTCCTCTCTGATTTATGTGGTCGAACCCCTAGCTTTGTGAGTGGCTGTTAAAGTCTCCACAGAGAATCATCTTTTCTTATACTGGGATTGTGTCTTATGTCTGGGGACGATCACTGTGGCAGGAATAATTGATCAGGTAGAAGTCTGCATTTCCAGTTTATACTTTCATAATCTGACCACGTTGTTTGGCATACATTAAGAATAGGAAATCATCCATGTGACATTGAATGCCATACATGGAGAGCTGTCATTAACGACATGTTAATTAGTACACACGTGAAACAGCCAATCATTTTGTTCGTTTGTTCACACAACGTATCAGCATCATGACACAAGTGTGGTAACCTATAAGTGCTTCGTTCTACTTCTAAATCAGGGTTAAGATTAATTAATTACGTCCTTCTTAGGACGTTATTTTTTGTTATTTGAAGCCCCACTCTGGCTTTTGCCAGGGGCCGCAATATAGGCAGGTCATCATTATGGCCAAATGTCTGAACGCGGTTTCTGGGACCTCTCCACGGTGATCCTCATCCGCATGGTGGCACTTTGTGTCATCGGGTGTTTATCGCTTGTGTGATGTCCTGGTGGGGTAAAAAAGCCAAGCCAAGTCTAAATCAGGGGTTAGATATGCTAGGTGTTTCGTCCTTTTTAGGACGAAATTTTTTGTTATTTGAAGCCCCACCCTGGCTTTTGCCAGGGGCCGCAACATAGGCAGGCCATAAATATGGCCAAATGTCTGAACGCGGTTTCTGGGACCTCTCTACGGCGATCCTCATCCGCATGGTGGCACTTTGTGTCATTGGGTGTTTATCGCTTGTGTGATGTCCTAGTGGGGTAGAAAGTCACTCACTCCAAATCAGGGAAAGATATAAGGTATAACTCAAGGAAAGATATAAGATATAACTCAGGGAAAGATAAAAGATAGAACTCAGGGAAAGATATAAAACCAAACAAAAAGTATATCAGAGAGCTTCACAATTTAACAAACACAAACAAAACGTAAACGTTGCGGCTATGGAGCCTTCTTCTAACTCAAGCCTGAGTCCGAAGAATCTCAGCTCAGTGCTCAAACTCTGTATAATTGGCGAGGATCCTTAAAACACTTTGGGTAGATTTTTACCTTCAAATTTTGCCCGGGTAGCGTCACTCTTTTCGACTTCCAAGAAATTTTTTTTAAGTTGACAGCAATCACACGGGCGTCCGATCTTACTACCCAGAGACCAGGAGAAATTACTAGAGGTCCATGTGAAAAAAATCCCAGCCTTTACGGAGGCTTGAAACCGGGACCTCCAGCACTCGAGGCGGACCACTTAGCCAATCATTTATGTCATGTTGATACACACGAAAACAGCCAATCATTTATGGCATGCTCATACACACGAAAAACAGCCAATCATATATATGTCCTGTTGATTGGTATACATGAAGAACAGCCAATCACACACATTTTTTCCTTGTAGTAACAAAAGTTGGAGACGTGGCTGTAACTGACTGCTTATTTCTGGTCCAAGTGCAACTAAAAGGCTAATTAAATGTTGAGAGAGTAAGGAAGATGAAGGCATGAGTAAAGCAAACATTGCTGGTCATCATGAGCCCTCCCGATGCGCAAGATTGGTGGACACTGAGAAAAAGGAAGGTAAAGAGATGAATACAAGTTATCTAAGTATCTATCGCTTTGTCCTTCCAATGCTCTTTCTCCACCAATATTGCCCGTCGTCATCAAGTTCTCGAGTTTATCCCTTCTTGTAACACATTCACACACGCGCACACACACACGCACACACATACACACACACACACACACACACACACACACACACACACACACACACACACACGAGATTGTCGCCGTCTAATTATAAACTTTATTTACAAGAAATATATTTAAAATTTACTGACTTCAAAAAGTGCAAGGAGACCAACCATGGCCATTGTCCAGGACTGTTCAGATGTCCACCGATAACCCTTTTTATTCGAATTCCTTGGGCCTCGGTCTTCATTCCGCATTCGGTTCTGTTATTTTCTGTGAATTGAACACGACACAATTATGCAAAAGGCTTGCACACTAATATCTGTACACCTTTTATTGTCTACACATTACCGTCTCTTCATGGCATATTAGAAATGGAGAAAGCTGGGAAAACACAAGCACTGAGAGAACACAGAGATACAAAGTTGCAAATACAAGCTGAAAAGTTCCTCAGTATGCCAGATCACTCGATGGAAAATAGATTTAAAAACCTAGCCTTGGGACGGTTAAAAGGAAGCAGCTTTATACACCAAGCAAAAAGAATATGTAGACAAACTCCTGACCTTCCAGAAATTGGTTGCCCACTTAAAAGTATTCCGGAACAAACCCCATGGAGAGAAAAATGTAAACTAACGGTACAAATCCAGACAAATGTGAAAGGGATATTTGACAAGAAAGAGCAAGATAGTGTACAACGCAGAATGGCCACCGTCAGTTATATTGATGAAGAATACCCACAAGAACAATGGGTCAGAGTCTATACAGATGGGTCCGCAGAAAGTGCAGTCAGAAATGGTGGCGCTGGAGTGTACATCGAATTCCCAGATGGTACTAGGGATAAGTCCAGCGTACCAACCGGGAAGTAATGCCATAACTACGATGCAGAAACCCAGGCTATCAAGATAGCTACAGAGAAACTGCTAAATACCAACCTTGGCTCACAGTATGTGGTAATGCTGACAGATGCTAAATCAGTACTTGAAGCACTCCAGTCTAGGAAACTACCAGAATTGCAAACACTGCTAACACAACTCAGCGTTCAGCGAAGAGTCGTAATGCAGTGGATACCGTCTCATTGTGGAGTGCCTGGAAATGAGAAAGCTGATCAACTGGCAGGGGAAGGTGCGACAAAAGAGCAGCCGGATGCACCAGTCACATACCACCAAAAGAAAAGAATCATTAAATCGATCAGGAAACCACCAGCCCCAGCACAAGACGTCTGTTATTATGGACAGACCAGAACAAGTCATTATCCTCCGCCTCAGAACAGGGCACAACCGATTACGTAACCACATGTACACAAAATTCAAGATAGGTGTATCAGCTATGTGCACCTGTGGAAATGTGCCCCAGACAGCAGAGCATGTACTCCAGGACTGCACCGATTTTGACACATTAAGGCAAACCTTTTGGCCACAAAGAACAACAGTGGAACGTAAACTCTATGGACCACTGAATGAACTAACAACGACAGGGAAATTTATACAAGAGACAAAACTGCTGATATAGACAACTTATTTCAGGCGAACGAAAGAAGAAGAAGAATCTCACGTGTAGAGAACGAAAGAATGAATTAACGAGTTTCAAAGGGTTAAGAATCGGAATGTTCTTTCTGTAGCCTTTGTTTCTGCACAGAGTTCAGTTGTTTCAAAGGGTTAAGAATCGAAATGTTCTTTCTGTAGCCTTCGTTTCTGCTCAGTTCAGTTGTTTCAAACGTATTGGTCTCACATTTCCTTTGGAGTAAACACAGCAGGTCGAGAGAAGGGATCTAGCTGCATGGGCAAGAGACATTCTCTACAATACTGATCTGGCTTTGTGCTATAGAAAGAAGGAACTTTATCCCTAGTCTTTATCAGGCCGGACGGTCTTGCTAGTCACACTCGCCATCGCCATAGGCTATGAGTGCCATGCCTCCTCAAAGCGCAATACAATACTGTCGTCTGGAAAGACGGAAAAGTGGTAGCAACAAGAACTGAGCACGTAGGTGGTCGTACACTCTGACATGGGGCTAAGTGGTCTCGAGTGCTGGAGTCCTGAGTTCAGACTCCAGTGATGGCTGGGATTTTTTCACAAGGACTTCTACTAATTTCTCCTGGTCTCTGGGTAGTAAGATTGGACGCCCGTATGTATTGTTGCGCAAGTAAAAAATCCCTTGGCAGTTGGAAATCGAAAATAGTAGCCTAACAGCGCTGCCCGGGTTAAATTTAGAGTTTAATATCTACCTTAAGAATATCAGGATCTTCGCCGGTCCAACGAAGTTCGGGAACTGTACTGAGATTCTTCAGACTCAAGCTTGAGTTAGAAGTAGAAAGCAGCACTTCTGGGTTACACCGTGTGCCATTACGTTGATCCGTTGAATAAACCATAAACCACACTCTGCCCTTCTGGTCTCCATCCGTATATACAATATGAGACGCATACAGACTAGTTTAAACAATTAAAATTCTAAGTTGTGTGTTTGAAAGTCTCATGTGTCCCATCTTCCCGGCCCCCAGTTTTAGCATTTGTCAGTGGAAAATAGAGAACCGTTAAACACACAGAAGGAGAGTTAAATGGACCAAGAACTAATGTTCGAGGAAACTGATGTTTAGTAAAAGAGATGAGCTCCTGAAAGACGAAGGAAGAAAAATAGATAGACAACCTCTAGTACATTTGGTTTTAACAGAAAGAAAATGGCAATGTAATGAGCATTTTCTGAGAAGAAGCGGGACAAGAAACACAAATCGGGTACTGAAATGAGAAACAAATGTTTTGAGGAAGCGATTGCGTCCAAGATTAAGGGGAGGAGAAGAAAAAAGAAGGAAGAAGAAGAAGAAGTGAGATTAGTGCAAGTTATGCAGTGAATATTCATGCCGCTTGGGTAGCGGAAATATTCAGAACAATTACAGATACGTGAATGGCAGGAAGAGGTCATGCAAATAAAGTCTAGAATTTGCAGAAGAGGTCATGCAACTAAAGTCTAGTAACTGTAGAAGAGGTCATGTAACTAAAGTCTAGTAATTGTAGAAGAGGTCATGTAACTAGTCTAGCGATTGCAGAAGAGGTCATGCAACTAAAGTCTAGTAACTGTAGAAGAGGTCATGCAACTAAAGTCTAGTAATTGTAGAAGAGGTCATGTAACTAGTCTGGTGATTGCAGAAGAGGTCGTGTAACTTAAGTCTAGTGATTGCATAAGAGGTCATGTAACTAAAATCTAGTGACTGTAGAAGAGGTCATGTAACTAGTATAATGATTGCAGAAGAGGTCATGCAACTTAAGTCTAGTGATTGTAGAAGAGGTCATGCAACCAAAGTCTAGTGATTGCAGAAGATGTCATGCAACTTAAGTCAAGTGATTGCAGAAGAGGTCATACAAATAGTCTAATGATTATACCTTTGCTCTTCAAGGTTTCATTGATGCCTTCATCAGCTGACATTGCATCCGGGCTCTGCGCCTCTGCCGTGGATGTAATAGTATTATTTGTTGAATGATCACTGAACATAGAATGTGTACTTGTCGACTCAGTAACTGTCTCATTTCTTTCAGTGTTCTCGTAAACGTTTATATACGTCCCATTCGCTGGCTCCGAATCGTTAGAAGCAGTGCCATGTGGAGAAGAACTGTCTGTGAGACTGTTCTCGTTAGAAATATTAGCACCCCTGATTATTTCTGTTGTAGTTTTCTCTACGCTGGCATCAGTTGTTCTGATGTTATTTGCTGAGGTTGTCGATTCTAACAATAAAGAGTGCGTAGAGATGTCTGAGTTGTTTGGTTTGTTGGTGGATTGTGTTTGATTCGCTTGCGATCCATTATCATTGCCATCTAAATTTGTAAGCATATACTTCTCCATAGGCACAGTTGTCTCATTTTGATTTTGTGTTGACAAATATTCCCCAGAAGCTTCGGTCTTTGGCGTGGCTGGCATAGTCCCTGGTGACGCAGTTGTGGTTTGTCTTGATGTTGTGCTTACTGATGCAATATTGATGGTCTCTCTGGAAGTTATATCTGTTGTTGCTACGGATGATATTTCTGTAAACGTTGTAAAATTTAAGACAACAGACGGAGTTTCTCTCGAAGTGGTGTTTGTTGTGACAACAGATGTGGTTTCAACGTCTGTTTGGAGGGGGGAAAAAATAGAATGACATTTTCCTTATAATTATACCCATTTTATCATTTTCAAAAATGTCTAGAAAATTAAAATTCGAATAAGCACCATGTGACGGAAAGATAAACACATGGCAGCTCACAAACGTAATGGGAAAATGAGCATAAGTAGACAAAGGGAAAAGTATCTAGATGTCCTGGCCACATGGTATAAGCGGAACAAGATCATAGATTTGATCCGAGACTGGTGATCGTGAGATACAGAGAACTGTGACCGTTTACGCTTATCGGTATAATATATAATGATGCAAATTATTTCAACTATTCAAACTAGAATCACATCTTTACATCTCTCTCACACTCTTGCTCTCTCTTCCACACACACACACACACTCTCTCTCTCTCTCTCTCTCTCTCTCTCTCTCTCTCCTCCCTTTCCCCTTCTCAATGTAGTAATACAAGAGACTAGTACATTAAAATAATCATCACTTAGTTCTGCCCCCCCCCTCCCAAAGTGAAAACAACCGCTGATGTCAGTATAACAAGTCTTGCAGACAACAGCAGTATAAACTTCAATATGTATGTATGTTATATATATATAAGTTAGTTGTGTATCCTTTACAGGACGTTGCAGAACCAACCCCAGCATTTTTTGGCTGTTGTGATTTTTATAGGCAAATTTACGCCCAGTAGTTTGCCATTGCTTTTGGACGGTCGGCTTCTCGATACCACTGTCGAAACCAACGTAAGGACGGCAGCTGGGATCGAACCCGGCACCACGGCATTACGAAGCTTGTTTGCAAGGCCTAAGCCACAGACGCCGACACACATTCACACACATATATAAATATATAAAACAATGAAACACTTCTTAAATGATTGAAAACAGAATCCAAATCACTGTCTTATTCTTCTGATATTGATAGCTGTGAAATATTTAATTGAAAATCGTGTAGTACTGACATGATTGCAGTACAGTGATTTACGTTTTATAGGATGAGTTAAAATATTACCTTTCTGTCCAGGATCAGTGGAGTCAGCATCCAGTTCGACCAGACTCGAGGTAAAACGGGAACCTGTTTGCAGATAATCATATGAGAACGTCTGTTTTCTTCCAGCATACATAAAAAGTATAATTTTAAAAGCTTTTATTAAGATCAAATTTGTATGTTGACTTTTCTTTTTCTGAACTATATCCCCCAATGGAGCAGGGGCCATTAACCATCTCGCCACGTCGTCCTATCTTCTGCTTTTACGTGCAGCTTATCCAATGTCCTCAATTTTTTAACTTCACTCTAGCTGCCTTCTTCTCTATTTGTTTTTGGTCTGTCTTTATTTCTATGCCCATGTGGGTTTCGGTGCAGAAACAATCTAGTATACTGCTGTCAGGTTTTCTCACGTATTAAACTCCAGCGTCTTGTTTTTTTTTCTTTTTTTTTCACTTGATTCCCTGAAATATATTACGAGCAGGCACCATATGAATGTTTTTTGTTTATTATTAACTGTTTTGGTTGTTTTTAATGTTTCCGCTCCATAGAACAGTACTGATTTGACATTGAAATTAAAACGTGTAAAATTATTATTAGTTGTAATTTCATTTGACTTCGACAGATCTTTTAGTGCTATGACAATTCCTCTTCCCTTTTGTATTTTTATTTTAATATCTCTATCAGTTACCTAACTTTGTCTACATTACTGCGCAAATTGGTGTATGCTCCACATCTTGGAGTAAGATACCATTGAGGAAAACCACACTACTATTTGCCTTATTTAAAATCATTATCTTTGTCTTTCTTTTATGGATATTATAGCTAATCGCAACCACCTGTGAAATGAGATGTTTGAGAATGGCTGCGAATAAAACCAGAAGAGATTGAGTGAGAAACAATGTGATTACAAGAACTATTGGAACCATACCCATCGTTAAATTTATTGAGAAGCAAAGAATGAAATGGTTTGGTCACCTAGTGAGAATCGAACCAACGATGCCAGCATCAAGAGCATACAACATGAAAATCGAAACACAAAGAGGCAGGGGAAGACCAAGAAGAATATGGATTGAAGGAGTCACGGACAACTTGAGACTTCATAACATCACGGCATATGAAGCGACTGAGCGCGCCCTGGCTCGGTTGCCGATCATCTGATAGACTGCGACGCCTAGCGGCACAAGCAGATTTTGACAAAAGAAGAAGATAGCTAATCGCTGTGACCTCGCGTCAGGTATGTTTAACTGTAATAAATATTGTAGTTTGTCTATTATCTGTTCCTTGTATTTTTGGTCTAGCTCGTGGTTTACTCCTATTCAACTGTATTTTTGTGTGTACTTTTTTTTTCTTTATTATCCTGCACTCCTTTTTTCTTCTTCTTCTTCTTCTTCTTCTTGGCTTCACTGCGCAAACTTCGGAGTAAAATGTGGCTGTTCGTCCACTCCTAGACAAATCTTGATCCAAAATTTGAGTTGTGCGTGCACGTCTGTTTTACTAATCTGGCTTATTTGTGTGTAGACTGTTGGTTGCTCCCAAAATTTTTCTGTCTGTAACTGGACTGACGGAACACTCATGAGCACTGAGTCAGAATTGCAAATGAACTGGTAAACACTGTAACACATTCCTACATGTATACAACACAAATCAGAAGGCACAGAGTAATAATTACACAAGAATCAATTGTAACCATGTTATATGGTATTTGAACATCTGAATGCTTGTAAGTAGATGCCGAATATGAGTTAGCAGTAACGAATTTAAAAAAAATCAACAATTTATTAGATGTACTGAACACACATACACAGTCCTACAATTAAGTAAAGAGACTGATTATATTATGTCCAAAATAAAAACGCCATCCACAGAGGACATCTCACAGAGTGACAAACACCCGGTGACACAAAGTGCCACCACTCAGATAAGGATCACCCGAGGAGAGGTCCCAGAAACCCCATTCAACCCATAGGTTGGGTTATTTAACGGCACCTGGCAACAGCCAGGGTGGGGCTTCAAAATAACCAAAAACGACATGGGGACGAATCTTAACAGACTGGAATGGGTAGTTAGAAAAACTTGTATGCTACATGAATGCTGAAGAGAAAGTATTACGATTAAAGAAAACAAACGTTTAGTTTTTCAAAGTGGAAAAAAGGCAACTCGATCTAGAACACAAGCATGAAAAAACAAAAGGAAACACCTATTTTGCTGGTGAATTTAATTGGTACATTTATGTGACATTTTCTGTGTATAAGATGCAAATAAAACAAACTGTAAGAACACTTTCTTTCTGTGTGAATTATATTTTATGTGACTTTCAATGTTTAAAAGTAAATTTCCTCATAATTCTATTTTTCTCCTTGTTTTATGTGTAAAATCCCAAAATCTCGGCTAATATAAAGACTAGAAACATGAGATTTGGTGTGGATACTCATTAAATAATATTATAGCGGCAGGTCTATTAACAAATATATTTCATGAAGTATATGCGTTTTTTTTTTAAATTTGATTATTGTCTTATGATGCAACACTTGTTGACCTTTTCAACAAACCTAAATTTTAATATTCTAAGAAAAATGTTTAGAAGCATTTTAAAAGAAAATAAACTTCACCTGACCCTTAATAGAGGGTTAAAGTTCATGAATCAACCATCTATTTCTCAATACTTATTGTTGTGTTGAAATCTTGGGATTCTAAGTTCAGGATTTTTTTTTTTTAACTTCAAGCGTACAAATGTATTAACATATAAACCTAAAAACGACTATTATAGAATAACGTGTCTAACATTGTAAATAATAAACAAAAATGATCTGGTGTCCTCCGTATGGGTTACAGGGCCCTATTATAGGGAAAACAAGAATAGACCCACTGCCTACCCAAAAGCATGTCGTAAGAGTTGACTAATTTGGAGCTTCCTTATAAGTCGGAGTGTATCTGCCTGAGAGGCAAGGAACCAACAGTCTGCACACAAATGCGTCAGATTTGTCAAACGAATGCACACTTAACACTAAGATTCTGGAACCGGACTGCAGTCCAGAAGTGGACGAACAACCAGAACACGAACCAGAACTTTCCAACAGAGTTTACAGCTGGTGAACGCAAAGAAGAAGAAGAAGAAGTTCTGGTGTAGAGACGCCTCAAATATATAAAATCAGTCCCGCCATTTAAACCTCAGTAAGTAAAGTAAAGGACTAAGTTCCACAACTGCAGTCGTACTGGGCATTCAGGGGTAGAACTATGCCGCTGTGGCTTAGCGTCTACGGTAATGATGAACATGCCCGGGTTAAATTTGGTGTTAGAAATCTACCCAAGGTATTTCAGAATCCTCGCCGGTGCAATGGAGTTCGTGCACTGCGCTGAGCTGCTTCAAATTCAGGCTTGAGTCAGAAGCAGAGCGGAGCACTTATGGGTAACCCCTTTGTGACATGATGTTGATCCTTTGAATAAACCAAACAACCAATAGTATTAATGAACACTAGGGGATTTAACACTGTAACACTTTATGAGAGTACTGAATACCACACGAGCAGATAAGTTTGGACAGGAACTGACCGCAATCACTTGTCTGCACTTCTCTTAACTTGGCTGCCGGAGGCGGGTATATTCTCAGACATCGGGCTCTAATCGGAGTGCCCAGCTCTATTGTCAGCCATCTGGACCTCTTGTCATCCGACGTCACGCTAATCTGAGAGAGGACCAAGTAAAATTATGCTGTCTCCACAAATCACATAAATAAACAGAGGGGGTTGGGACCCCTGGGGCCGTAAAAACATTATATATATATATATATATATATATATATATATATATATATATATATATATATATATATAACAGATAATGTACTGATCGGCACTCATAGAAAGACATAGAAAGAAAGAAGGAATGTTAATTACCTGTAACACAATGGAACTGACCACTCAATATCTCTTTTTAAATTGTGTATTCTAGACACAGCTTTACGGTTCGATATGTTTGTAAATGTTGTTGTGTTTGTTATTCGACCTATCCTTGATTAATACAAATGTCTGTAACTTATTGTGCAATTTCAATGGTTTGAGATTAACTCTGCCAGTATTCCATAGTTCGGGATTACATGTTGTACGACATTGTTTTTAGGGGTGTCTATTTGGTCATGTCCTTGGTATATTTGTTTCTTTGCCGAGACGCACGCCCTCTTTGGAGGTACAGGGTAACTATAGCTTTTGTTATTATGTTGTCTAGAGAGTCCTTCTATCTTTCTGCTTCTTTATATAAGTGCTAATCAATACATTGTCTGTTCGTTTATTATATATGTAATGTCTCCACAATCCACGTTGGTTGCATAGTATACATTGACAACTTTAGGAATATTTAGTGGTGAGATCCCAGTCTCTTCCGCCACTCGAGTCTTGTACCGCTGTCTAAAATAGAGTGACCACAAAATCTTCAGCTGAAAACGGGACATCCCACTTATATTGTGTAATCTTCTGAGTTGAAATGGGACATCTCACTAATATTTTGAGCTGAAAACTGGACATTCAACTAACATTTTGAGCCGAAAACGGGACACCCCACTAATATTTTGAGCTGAGACGGGACATCCCGCTAATGTCTTGAGCTGAACATGGGACATCTCACTAACATTTTGAGCTGAAAACAGGACACCCGGCTAATATTTTGAGCTAAAACGGGACATCCCACTAATATTTTGAGCTGAAAACTGGACATGCAACTAATATTTTCAGCTAAAAACTGGACATGCAACTAATATTTTGAGCTGAAACAGGACATCCCGCTAATATCTTGAGCGGAACACGGGGCATCGCACTAATATTTTGAGCTAAAAATGGAAATGCAACTAATATTTTGAGCTAAAAACGGGACATCCTATGCAAATATGTTTATAACCCCCCCCCCCCCCCCCCCCCCCCCTTCACCACTTCCCCTTTCCCCTATTCAATAATCTTCACAGAAAACAAGAATTTATGTCCTCATTAGAATCAGCAATCTACAGGCCTTTAGAATTCAATTGAAACTAACCCCTTCTTCTTCTTCTTCTTCTTCTTCTTCTTCTTCTTCTTCTTCTTCTTCTTCTTCTTCTTCTTCTTCTTCTTCTTCTTCTTCTTCTGCGTTCGACATCAGTCATGCTAGACATTAAGTCCCGTCTGGGTCACAAATGGGGTTTTGCGTTTAAGGTCGCCACCGGTCCCTCATAGCTTCTCTTTCATTGTGGCTCCCTTGGGTCAGATCCACAGTCTTTGATGGGAGAGGTTAGGGCAGTACTGTACTAACCCCTAATACAGATGAGTTTGTCTTTCTATAAAGGCATGCTTCTCTTAGATCATCAGTGCCATATCTTCTAAGTTATCCTATACAGATAACATATATATGTATAATCCCAGCTTCCTTTTTTCCTAATCAACAATCAAGACATCCAAGGCATTACACATATTTAAGATTATTAATCTTAAAAGGTCTACGGATATAACTATGAGTTTATATTCTATACTCGACTTTATTCCTAGATTTTTATAAAACTGGTCAACTGAGATTATGTGTGTGTGTGGGGGGAGGGGGGGGGGGGTCTGTGTGTGTGTCGGAACACACTGAAAAACAGAACTGTTGCGATTTAAAAGCCACGAGAACGGTCTTTTCTTAACCACTCATGGTGGAGACTGAATCCTGGTAAATGTCCAGGATTACATTGTGAAATGATATCACTAACCCCTATGCCAGAGAGCTGCACATATAAATAATTAAAAAGTAAAGGGATGGAAGGGAGGGGAGGAAGAGCGGGTCAGCTTATAAATTATGTTAAATAAGTTGGCATTTGAAAAGTTTTAAATAAATAATGCACGAAGAGAGAGAGAGAGAGAGAGAGAGTGAGAGAGAGAGGGAGAGAAAGAGAAAGAGAGAGAGAGAGAGAAAGAGAGAGAGAGAGAGAGAAAGAGAGAGAGAGAGAGAGATGATTTATCATGTTGTTTAATGGATATAATTAGTTAAATAATTTTCTCTACAAAATTCATCTTTAATAGAAACGTAGAAAAGGGAAATTCTAAATCATAAAATCTAATAATTAACTTGCAATATCAATAGTACCTAAATACGTGTGATTAAATTATTAAATGTGCATATAGTTATAAAATTTAGAATATACCAGTGTTAGATTTAGGCATAAACTTAGGGTCTCACAATAAGCAGGGGCCTCAGCAAATTTTTTTTATTTTTATTTTCAGAAATGCAATTTTCGGCACACATCACGAAAATCACTCCATGTCGTCAGTCGCGAGATTTCGTGTCGGCTCTCATTCATGCCGTGGTTGTTCCCACGGGCTGTCCTATGCTGTAAGAGTGTTAGGATACGCGTTCACTCGCCTTTTCGTCTATACACACCGTGGGGAAAACTGGGTCCCGTACGTTCGAGACTGAACACGAAAGTATGGAGCTTTCTTCAGTGGCAGTAACGCTGAAAGACATTTTGGGGGGGGGGAGGGGGGAGGTACACGAGCGAATGTTCAACTTGTTTTCTTTCCTGTCAACTAGGTCGCTTGTGCAACCGTCACTGGTTTGAGAATTGATGACATTTTTGGTCAATCACCAAGTAACGTCTCAGTGATAGCGATGAAAAGCGAACGTACAACGCAAGTAAAGCAGTGCCGGCCACTCACAACGTGCAAATTAGATCGTGCTGGTAGCCCACAACGTGGAGTATTAAATGCTTATAGCTTTAAAGGTTAGTTGCGTATCTTTTACAGGACGTTGCAGACCCTACCCCAACAGCCCCTGGCTGTTGTATGGTTTTTCTAGGCAAATTATAACAAAATAACAAAAAATGACACCCTAGAACACAAGACAGCCTTTGGGAAATCTCGCACTCGACTTTATAGCCTTAAGGATTACATAATTTTAATTGATGTGATTTTTCATACATTCTTTATTCTATATTTTACTTAAAAAGAAAAAAAAAAAGAAAACCAAAATATATGTTCATGGTCCATACATTTAAAAGGCGTATATATTCTCTTTTACAGAAGAATGCTTAGAATACATTGGACAGCCAAAAAGAGCAATCAAGAGGTTTTAAAAGAGGCGGGGGCTTAAAGACAACTTATCACAGACATCAGAAGGAGATAGTCATCATTTTTCGGCCATGTTATGAGAAGAGGGAAAATAGAACATGTTGTGACCACTGGAAAGATATGTGGATGGAGAGATAGAGGAAGACAACGAGAGAAGATTCTTGACAGTCTTGTTGCATGGCATGGAGGTGTGTCGGCACACAAACTGATGCATGCTGCAGGAGATCGTGGATTGTGGTGAGGCATGATCGCTCACGCCAGTCAGCAAGGCCCCTGATGATGATGATGATATATTTTTTAGGTGGTGTAATTCAAAACAATAGGGGCCTCAGAGCTTTATACAGCCTTGGGCCTTATAAAGTCTAAACGGGCCCTGGCATAAATACAACATGCAATTCTAGTTTAAAAAGCAAAAAGGCAAGATAAATACATAAAATAATGAATAAAATTCTTACCACGTTCATATCAGATATGTCCAGATAGTGCCAGTACTCGCAGGTCAAGCTGGTTGATATGGTGACGTTGTCTTCGGACGGTGTCTGCAGCTCCAGCAAAACTTTCACCCAGGAGAATACCACCTCGTGATCATAGTTGACCTGACATCCACCGCCGTCTATCCACAGCTCTTTGGCTGGTTGCACGTCTTGACAGCATCTGCTGTTTTCGTATACCGCTAAGGTAAGATGTGTTAGAGTCAGTTTCTGGTGCAATATATCTTTATTAGTAGAGGAAAGGGACTCATCTCAACGTCTTCAGTCGTATTGGGCGTATAGGGCTGGATCCATATGTTATGGAACAATCAGCACTTAGTGGGTGAGGTGGTAAACATAGCGCTGGGGACCTTTACTTCCCAGCAATTTAGTTAGTTCCCATTTAAGGCTGGGTCGACCTGAGAGGGGAGGTCATTTTTACCTGTATTAGCGCTATGTAATATTTTTTTTTCTACACTGTACACTATATTGCAAACTACTGGACGTAAATGTGCCTAGAAAAACCACACAACGTCATGTAAAGGATACACAACTAACCAATAACACTATGTTGCTGTTAGTCTAACGAGACTGTACACACGTGTTGATGAGGCTTTCTGTGAGGCAGGAACATCATCAGCTGGTAGTCTAACCAGTTGTGAGAAGTCAACAAAGGGTGTGGCTTGGGTTGGATGTGGCATATGCTCTACTGCTACTGGTAGATAAATGACAGAAGAAGAAGAAGAAGAAGAAGAAGAAGAAGAAGAAGAAGAAGAAGAAGAAGAAGAAGAAGAAGAAGAAGAAGAAGAAGAAGAAGAAGAAGAAGAAGAACAAGAACAAGAAGAAGAACAAGAAGAAGAAGAAGAAGAAGAAGAAGAAGAAGAAAAAAAAAAGAAGAAGAAGAAGAAGAAGAAGAAGAAGAAGAAGAAGAAGAAGAAGAAGAAGAAGAAGAAGAAGAAGAAGAAGAAGAAGAAGAAGAGGGAGATGATAAAACTTGTGAAGAAAGAAAGAAAGAAAGAAAGAAAGAAAGAAAGAAAGAAAGAAAGAAAGAAAGAAAGAAAGAAAGAAAGAAAGAAAGAAAAGAAAGAAAGAAAAGAAAGAAAGAAAGAAAGAAAGAAAGAAGAAAGAAAGAAAGAAAGAAAGAAAGAAAGAAAGAAGAAAGAAAGAAAGAAAAAAGAAAAAGAAAGAAAGAAAAAAGAAAGAAAGAAGGAAAGAAAGAAAGAAAGAAAGAAAGAAAGAAAGAAAGAAAGAAAGAAAGAAAGAAAGAAAGAAAAAGAAAGAAAGAAAGAAAGAAAGAAAGAAAGAAAGAAAGACAGAAAGAAAGAAAGAAAGAAAGAAAGAAAGGCGCTCCTAAACGGACAAGTAATGTTATTGGCCTTAGTTTGGGATAAATACGAGATCACGAATTTATAATATAGACGACTGGCGATGAAACTTTGAAAAATATCGTTTTTATAGTACCTCTCTGCATTGTGAACTTTGAGCAAAATTTCTCGCGTATTACATACCCGTACAACAATATCTAGGCTTTTGATGTATGATGTATTTTCTGAGATGATTAGATGTGGAAAAAGTAGTATCCTCTACGGCAGATGACACTATATTACATAGATATTATGCCAGATAATGTCAGACTTTTCTGTCCGAAAACTCGGAAAAAGTTTCGAGAATGCTGCTATTCCAATCAGGTATTATGAACTTCCAGAGAAATTGTGACTGCGATTTTGGTCCTATTGGAGAATGTCGTGGATGGGTTGGGAAAGTGATATGAAAGACAATCTAACATATTAAAAACAAGATGACTACTGTTTACTGAGATACAAAACAACAAGCGCCACACATCAAGGCGAGTTATGACGGGCATGAAATGTAATCAAATAAAAACAAAAGTAGTAGCAATAGTAATTTTTCAAGAATATCCCGTTAAACCCTCAGGGTTATAACTAGGATATGGTGTTAACGGATTTCTCAGAGTATAAATTTGTTATTTTAAATTAGTATATAATGTAAATATTTATACGGGGAGTCGCTGTAGTGTAGCGGCTAGACGCTCGCGTGCGGATGGAAAGGTCGTGGGTTTGCTCCCTGACGGATCCGGACTGTCAGGGGTCGTCCCTGTTACGGAACAGTTCAGTAGGATGATGATGAATCCCACTAAGGTACCCTGCGACCCTTAGCTAAACTCAGTACGTGTAGACACACGTAGAAACGTGGGTACTGAACGAAGCTGAGTGAAAACTCAGCGTTGATTGGTCAAGGCCAGCAGATTTCACGTAGGCCGACGGCCAAGTAGACACCGGAGTGTTTAACAAATCTGCCGTGCAAGGCAGAGTTCGGAACTCTCTTGGTTGTAGACGTGTAGTGTTGACTTTACGTGTGACCGGACGTTAGACTGTGACAGTTTCATTGCCAGATCGTACTGACTTGTAGGAATGTACCATCGTAGTTATTAGCTGTATTGCGTACTGTTCGTAGTGTGATTAAATATATTTAATACGTTACAGGGTAGATACGTGTTCCATTTAGATCTCCGTTAGCATTAGATCTAGGGTAATAGTTAGACTTTGTCAGTAGTTATAACTCTTTACGATTAGTCAGACCATGATTTGTTTGTGGCGTTAGCATCTGTCGACGCACCTCTGAGACCACACGGATCTAAGCGATTTTAAAGTTAGAAGCGGCAGGGTTTCAGAATAAGGAGTGCTAACCCTCCTAAGGGGTTCGCCTTCAAGTTATTCTCTTTTCATAATAAATATTGTGTGTGTGTTGCAACCTGTGTTTGGCTTGTGTGTGTTTGTCAGCAGTTGTTTCCTGTCATTAGCCTACAGCGTAGCCAATGGAATCGAACCCTATACATACAGGTTCTTGACACGGACTTTTTTCCCAAAATGACCTTGACTCCTAGGTCGACCCAGCCTTGAGTGGGTACCGGGTGCACTCCCGGGAAGTAAAGGCGGTCGGTGTGATGCTGACCATATCACCCATCTTGTACCGATTGGTCTATAAAAATATAGGTCTAGCGTTATATGCCCTATATGCATAAAGCCGTAGAAAAGGGACTTTTACTTTACTTTAATTATTTATATGACCAAAACATATTTTGTGATGTTTCACATTTTGCTTTAATTAGACAGTCTAATATTGTGTCATTAACATGGTGGATATAATGTTTCATTTGTGTGCAATTTTTGAGTATTCTCCTTTATTTTATCTTTAGGGGAAACTTCTTCAAAGATGCCGTGGGCATTCTTTACCTTTCTATATATGGATTTTAATCCTAGTAATAAATTGCCTGACCTTGCCACACAGCAAGTTTTCCATCGTAATATGTAATTTACACAGACTTATTCAGTCAGTTAATGGTTTTATTTGTTTTTTTTTTATATTTCCTACACTCCAGAAAATAGTGCTTTAAAGTACTGTATTTCTGGCATTTTATTACAGGTATTTTGCTGTGTAGTAACGCAAGATCATCCAAGCTACATTTTTAGCAATTTACGATTGCATGGTATTTTAAATTCATTAGTTATCTTTCCCAAACTCCAGCGAATAGTACTCTATAGTATTGTTTCTGGCATACATTACAGGTCTTTTCCCGTATAGTTAAGGTAGATCATCCAAGCTGTAGTTTAAGCAATTTACGATTGCATGGTGTTTTAAGTTCATCAGCTATCTGACAAAAAGAATTTATGACTATCGTCAGTGATAAAAGTAAGTAAAAAGTAAAGGACCCTTTCCACGCCTTTAGGCGTATAGGGCATATAGGGCTAGACCTATATTTTTATAGACCAACGGCACAAGATGGGTGATGTGGCCGCCTCTACTTCCCGGGATTGCACCCGGTACCCACTCAAGGCTGGGTCGACCTGGGAGCCAAGGTCATTTTTGAAGAAAAGTCCGTCTCCGCCAGGGAGCGAACCCACGACCTTCCGATCCGCGGCGCGCGTCTAGCCGCTCTGCCACGGCGACTCCCCATCGTCAGTGATAATTGCACGTAAACCTAATATCTAAAAGAAAATTTAGATTGGTTATGTAATATATATATATATATATATATATATATATATATATATATATATATATATATATATATATATATATATATATATATATATTACGCATGAGCACAGATAAACACTTACCACATCCCAAAAGTTCGAGTCTAAGGGCTGGCCACTGACCCGTGTACTGTGTGGGAGTTAATCGAATGCAGGTCACAAACTCCATCTTTCGCAGTAAAACAGTCTCCGTATCAAGCAACCTCTCAGAGTCGATCGAGTAATTCTAAATTAGACATGTGGTTATGAGATGTGAAAAATACAAAGAGAATCAAAACTGTGACAAGAAATGCAATTGTCTCTGATTATTAGACAAAGCTATATTTGCACCATTTAGCAGGGATTTCGTAGAACGTCGCTCTCAAAACGTAATGCCAGAAAGCAATTGCGTCTATTGCCAACTTAACAACCTTAAAGAAGGGGGGACAAAAAGTTGGCAAAGTTAATGCCCTCTGTTTCGCAACACTAAGATAAAAATATTTAAAACATTGATAAGACCAGTTGTTTTAAATGGCTCTGAAACTTGGAGCGCAACTAAAAAAGATGAAGCCTTATTACAGGTTTTAGAAAACAGTCTAACGACGAATCTTTAGACCCATCAAAGATGCAAACATTGGGTAATGGAGAGTGAGAAGCAACAACGAAATTCATAATCTGTTTAAATCATTACTGATAACTGGCATCATGAGAGCTAAAAAACTGAAATGGTTGGGGCATATTGAGAGAATGGCAGATGATAGAGTCGTGAAAACTGTATGCACAAGGGAGATGAATGGTCGTAGATCATGAGGCAGACCAAGAAGTTTATGGAGAGATAATGTCCAGGCAGACCTGTAAACACATGGTGTCACCAAGTGGAAAGAGAAGGCTAACCAGAGAGATGAATAGAGGCGGATGATATCTGCAGCAGTGAATCTCAAGGGCTCGGAATGCTAAATAAAAAGAAGTAGAAGGTAATGCCCTTGGTTATTGGCGCCTTCCGTCTTTGCAGTACCGCTTTACTGTGCGCTATGGAAGCACTGGTAGCCGGCTTGGTTTAGCAGCTAGATGAGAATTCAAAGGTCGTGGGTACAAATTCATTTGGTGCCTTATTGGTGTTTTTTTTTTTTTTTCAGACAGGACCTTTGTTCCCAAAGGAAGAGGGTAAAATCGGGAGATGTGAACCAGCGTCATTGCACACGGTTATAAACCAAAAGTGCTCTGCCACCAGTACAAACAGCTGATAAGAATTGTCCGCCTGTGTCGCCGTTCGCACGTAACCCTGTAGCTACAGCGACGTTTCTCTATTCACCCCAGAGTGTCAACTCTGGTACCCATTTCCTAGAGGCTGGGTGAACCCTGGGAGCCGCCCGGTTTCGAACATCGGCCATGGCTACAGATCGACCCATCCCTTAGTGCTTACCAGGTCAAGTCCATGAAAGTAAAGGAAGACGGTGTGATTTTTAACACATCACCTATCATGTCTATAACAAATTTAAGTCTAGCCTCATGTGTAAAATTAGCCACTGGCGTTTAAAGGAGCTCTGACATATGGCGATATAAAAATACGGATTTTTTTATAGTTATTAATTGTCGGTCGCCCCATATGGGATGCAGTTATTTGTAATTTTGAAGCCCCACCCTAGCTCTTGCCGCGGGTCCTGAATATAGCCTGGCCTGAAATATAGCCTAACGGCTGAAAGGGGTTTCTTGGACCTCTTCAGAGGTGATCCTCATCCGCAAGGTGGCACTTTGTGTCACCAGGTATTTACCGCTTGTGTGATGTCCTGGTGGGGTACAGCTACATATCTACCTATGGAGACATGAAAATCACTGTCCATGGAGATGACTATTCTGACTAGTAAGACCCGCTAGCTTTAAGCAATGTCTTTTACAGTCTGACCCTTGTTCAGCTCTCAACCTGACAGAAATAGATTTTTACGCTACCTAACATCTTTAAAACTTTCTCTTCTATGCAAGACGATCTATACCATCCTGTTCCCATGAATGCACCTCAAAGAGCGTCCCCACGGTAATTTGGATAAATTCGGACTTGTCAGTTGCCAATTCCTCCTGCTCTTTCAGATTTTCATTGTTGTATAATTTTAGCGGAAGTCATACCAGATTGCTGTATTGACTGAGAAAGACTAACGTTAAATTCAATACTCTGCGATCAAACAAGAGTACACCAAGAGGATGTTTCTTCTGTGAGTGTGTTTGTGTGTGCGCGAGCGTGTGCGAATGTGTGTGCCTGTGTATGTGCGCGTGTTTAACACTCAATATAAATAAGCTGAGTTGAGTCGAGAATTGACGTGACAGCATATGCGATCCGTCCCTACGAGGAATTCCAAACAATCTACACACAAAATGTAAGCCTACGCGGATAAGAGACGTATATCATAGAATTATATCTGTTATCCCCATCCCTCGCCTCTTCTTCTTCTTCTTTCTCCTCCTCCTACTACTCATCATCATTATTATTGTCACCATCATCATAATCATTTTCATCATCATCATCATTGTCATAATCATCATCATCACCATCATTATCATCATCCTCATCATTATTATCATCATTATCATTATCATCATCATCATCATCATCACCATCATTATCATCATCCTCATCATTATCATGATCATTATCATCATTATCATCATCATCATCATTACCATAATTATCACCATCATCACCACTATATCGGCCAATATAATCACAGCATAGCGGGTATTCTCACCTCAACGTTGTAGTGATCACAATCCAGTGACGTTTCTAACAGCCACCCAGTCACCAGACCGGTCATCTCAGGGTCACCTTGAACTTGAAGAGCGGTCAGTAACACGGGCTGTGAGATGTTAATCTAAACCAATGAAATTAAATGACGGATATGTATGGCATGCCCACCTGTACAGAAAAGCACACACTGTGTATATTCGTGATACATACTCTGACATTTTTTTAGATGTTTATCCGGCTGCTGTAGCATCAGTTTTTATTTTATTTGTTTAAATAATGCATTCTTTTTTTGATTCTTCCTCTTCGTTTTCAATGGCTGTAAACTCCGACGGAAAGTTCTTTCTTTTTGTTGTCTACTTCTGGACTTGTTCCAGAACTTAAGTATTGCGTGCACATCCGTTTTACAGATCTGGTTTATTTGTATGTTTATTTGGTGTGTTACATGGTCAGCATCACGTATGCCGCCTTTACTTTCCAGGACTGCACCTGATACCCACTCAAGGATGGGTGGACCTGGGAGCCAAAGTCATTTTTGAAAAAACGCTGGCTCCGTCAGGACCCGAACCTTCCAATCCACAGGCGAGCGTCTAGCGACTACACCACGACGACTCCATTCGGCATATAGTGCTAGATCTATCTTTGATAGACCAGTCCACACATTCCATGGCGCTGGTTTGTGTGACTAGCAAGACCCGCTTGTGTTTAGAAAAGTCTTCCACAATCAGAGCATGTTTAAAAAAAAAAAAAAGACATTGTAGCTGCCATCGCTTGTGTTAAAGGTGATTCTCCTGGTATAGCCATTAAAAGTGTCCTAATTATAAGTTCTTTGAAGGTTGAACAGGGTAACTGGGATCTGCCTAGTTGGTCTGTCGTCCAGACTGAGATATCTAGACTGAGGATAGTGTGATAAACCTTTAGGTAGCAGACCGGAGGGAAGAAATGGATCGATCGATCTAAGGTCCAAATTCAAAGAAGAAACTGCTTTCTTTTTTGATCAATGCTCTGGCCTTCAACTCAGCAAAAGATAAAAAATACGGTACACATTTTGTTGGTTTAGTTTATAAAGCCTATGTTAAATTTACCTCAATGAAACTGTCGCTGATGTTCGATGGTATCCAGGCTTGGGGAGAGTTAAGCCTAACATTGTCTGCCTCATCGTCCCAAGCCGCAATGTGAAATACTAATGAATTATGGGAACCGTTGTATTTCAGTCCTAGCTGGGACATGCAGGGCGGCTGAAAACAGAAAAGAAAAGAAAAAAACTACCTGTGAGTTGTATTATAATTCCAACACGGACATTCAATACATTACCTTCATTCAAGAAGCTTGAACCTGACTTTGCGGCGCCGGGTGACGAACTCCCTGTGATCCAGGTTCACGCCCGGGGGTAGGCAGAAAAGCCGCAAACCTCCCAGATTTACGGTACCTTTCATGGAATCAAGGCCGAAGGGTTGCGATATAGTACCGAGCCAAAGGGCTAACAATTCATGGTTTCTAAAAAAAAAAAAAAGCTTGGCTGCTAGCTGGAAAGTATTGGCTTTGAATCTGCCAGAGATTTTTTTAAAGTTACTTTTGCTACCAGGTCGACAAAACTGAAGTTGGGCACCAGATAATATCCTCGGAAATAAATTATATCAGGCCGATGTTCACAAAATCATCCACCATCGCCGAAATCGAAATATGAGTTTTTCAACATATACCCGATGTGCACATGGCGTGAAATGAACCTTTATTTTCTTTTTTGTTTTGTTTTCAGGGCCTCATCCCCCCCTCCATGCCACCCCCCCCCCTTTCCTCCCTCTCCTCTCTCCTTCAACAGAGTATCACATGTGGAAACGTTATGCTTTTGCCCTCCTACATTCCAGGGTTGTCTAATCTGATTCCCTACCCTGTCCGTGACAAACCGTTGTAGTTTACTTTACATTACAAGCACGGTTTTTGTTTTCTCCCTCGCTTCTGAAAACGCTCCCGCTTTCCGCTAGATCTTAAAAAGCACTGTACAGGACCACAAATCAGAAATTATATAGTGACTTACATAGAGCACATGCAAACTTAAGCCAGGCAGGCATGTTTGCGGAAGGTAATGTTCTGTTGCCAAAACAACTTGTAAGAAAGACTGAGCGACCCTTTTCAAGATTTCAGGCGCTCTGGACAATTAGTGTAAGGCGGTCTAGCCACGCCCATATTTTTTTCATACACCGATCGATATTCATCTTTGTCAGTTGAGACGGGAAAGAGAATTCCTGAAAGCTATAAAAATTATGTCTTGATATATGGAAGTGAATCATGAACAGTTGGTGAATTAGAGAAAAATTATTTGGAATCTGCACGGATGTGGTTTTATAGACGAATGTTGAGAATACCCTAGACCAGTGCTTCCCAAACTGTGCGCCCCGGGGAGCCGCGACCTCTTCACATGGGTGCCGCGAAATTTTCGAAGATTTAAATAAAAATCCTTTATGTACGAATATTCATTCTTTTACTTAGGTTAGGGCGCCGTGGAAAAATCAAAATCGAAAAAAAAAAGGCGCCGTGACTACGAAAAGTTTGGGACACACGGCCCTAGACTGCTAAAAAGAGTAATGGAGATGTCTTGAAAGAAACGGACTCACGAAGAGAACTGAGTTCTCACATCAGAAAGAGACAATCTACATTCTTTGGTCACGCGATGAGAAGGAGAAATCTGGAGTACATAGCGACAGCTGGAAAGTTGGGGGAGGGGAGGCAGAGGGAGATCCATAGAAAATATGTGGGGACAGTTTGACATCATGGCATGGAGGATCATCAGTGTCAGAGTTGATTGAATGTGCACGAGACAGAAGGCTGTGGCTAGACATGACTACCAACGTCTCACGGCATTGACTTCAAGCAGAAGGATCGATATTCTATACCAACGTCACACGGTATTGACTCCAAGATGAAGGATCGATATTCTATACCAACGTCACACGGCATTGACTTCAAGAAGAAGGATCGATATTCTATACCAACGTCACACGGTATTGACTCCAAGATGAAGGATCGATATTCTATACCAACGTCACACGGCATTGACTTCAAGAAGAAGGATCGATATTCTATACCAACGTCACACGGTATTGACTCCAAGATGAAGGATCGATATTCTATAGTTGATTTGGTCAACATCCAGTTAGCAGCCAATACTTTCCAAAACATTCCCTAGAACGTTCCAATTGGAACCTGGGTGGATCTGAGAGCCAAATAGGGATAGAAACGGGGATAAGCAATAGTGAAATGGTTTGTCCTTTAATTTTTTACAGATGCAGGAAGAAACAATATTGAAATAGCTTGTCCGTTAATTTTAATTTAGACACAATGAGAAATTATAGTGAAATGGCTTGTCCTTTGATTGTTATATAGACACAAGGAGAAAATATAGTGATATGGCTTGTCCTTTGATTGTAATATAGACACAAGGAGAAACTATAGTAAAGTGGATTGTCCCTTTATTGTAATATGGACACGTGGAGACACTATAGTGAAATGGCTTTTCCTTTGACTGTAATATAGACACAGCCAGAAACTACAGTGAAATGGCTTAGCCTTTGATTGTTATATAGACACAAGGAGACACTATAGTGAAATGGCTTGGCCTTTGATTGTTATATAGACAAAAGGAGAAACTATAGTGAAATGGCTTTGCCTTTGATTGTTATATAGACACAAGGAGAAACTATAGTGAAATGGCTTTGCCTTTGATTGTTATATAGACACAGTGAGAAACTCCACTGAAATGGCTTGGCCTTTGATTGTTATATAGACACGTAGAGACACTATAGTGAAATGGCTTTTCCTTTGTCTGTAATATAGACACAGTGAGAAACTATAGTTAAATGGCTTGGCCTTTGATTGTAATATAGACACAAGGAGAAACTATAGTAAAGTGGATTGTCCCTTTATTGTAATATGGGCACGTGGAGACACTATAGTGAAATGGCTTTTCCTTTGACTGTAATTTAGACACGAGGAGAAACTACAGTGAAATGGCTTGGCCTTTTATTGTTATATAGACACAAGGAGACACTATAGTGAAATGGCTTGGCCTTTTATTGTTATATAGACACACGGAGACACTATAGTGAAATGGCTTGTCCTTTGACTGTAATTTAGACACGAGGAGAAACTACAGTGAAATGGCTTGGCCTTTTATTGTTATATAGACACAAGGAGACACTATAGTGAAACGGCTTAGCCTTTTATTGTTATATAGACACAAGGAGAAACTATAGTGAAATGGCTTGGCCTTTGATTGTTATATAGACACAAGGAGAAACTATAGTGAAATGGCTTGGCCTTTGATTGTAATATAGACACAGTGAGAAACTACAGTGAAATGGCTTGGCCTTTGATTGTAATATAGACACAGTGAGAAACTACAGTGAAATGGCTTGGCCTTTGATTGTAATATAGACACAGTGAGAAACTACAGTGAAATGGCTTGGCCTTTGATTGTAATATAGACACAGTGAGAAACTACAGTGAAATGGCTTGGCCTTTGATTGTTATATTGGCACAGGGAGAAATCTCCCTTCAGTGAAATAGAGGGTTCTTTGATTTTTATATGAGCACCAAAAAAAAAAAAAAATTTAGAGGTACAACAGAAAAGGAATAAGATAGAGACTCACACAGACCACGCACACGCTTGAATCAGTCCAGAATGTTCGTAAAAGGAAATGGTCTGTTGCTTATCAAAAACATGTTCCCGTGAAATTTACCGACAGAGTGTCCCCGCCACCCCCTCCTTATTCCCCCAACCCCTTCCCTTCCCTGCCGCTTTGTGTGTGTGTGTGTGTGTTTGCTAGCACCCACTTCCTCTTTAAACTTGCACCCAGACTTGGTTTCAGTGGTGCTGACACGAAGCCAACATGGGGCAGGGGGAGGGGGGAACTTAGGACCTGCTCAACGCCCTTATTGACTTTCTAATGGTGAGGGAAGGGGGGTTTATTGATTGAACTGTGCTTCTAAACAGGAGAAGGAAAAATATGATAATATGAGCTTGTGTTCATTAAGATATGCTTATGTATTCAGTACTGAAATGAAAATAACGATGACTGGGTGTTCTTTCATTCACTGAAATGTGCGCTCGTTAGCTGAAACGAAAATAGATGGCTTTTTGAATATGAAATCCCTGAGCTGTGCTCGTGTACGGCAATGGGAACAATTGACTAAGTTTGTTTTCAAGCATTGAGTTTATCTCATAAACAGGATGAAAAACAAGATGTTTACATGAGTATGTATTTATTGTTATGCTCATTATTTTTCAACTGAAATGAAAAAAAAAAATTAAAAAAAAGGAGTAGACTCCGACAATTTCTATTTATTTAGTGGGCTGCCTTCATAAAAAGCAACACAAACAGATTTGATTCCGATTCCTTTTGAGAAAAAATTAAAAGTTCGACTACTTTGAGACTGCTGCTAGCTAGCCGAGGCTGCTAACAGTCTCCGTCTATATTTGTGGTCTGGTTTATTTACGTCACTTTTGTGACTAAAGTTCTAGTATTTGTGCGACAAACAGTTAGTTCCAAAAATACGGCAAGCAACAGAGATAAAAATGACATATGTGCAATCATAACTTTGTGTTGTCCTGTTTGCAGTAATGATGTGTTACTTTGTGTTGTCCTGTTTGCAGTAATGATGTGCAACTTTTTGTTGTCCGGTTTGCAGTAAGGATGTGTTTTAAATTAGAACTTCCCTCCCACACCACCAGCCCGTCCTTTTTCCCCTCCTCGCTTAGGGTTGAGTCCCTTGAAGTAAAAAACCTAATGAGGCCTAGATGCCAGGGAGCCACTGCATGTTGTAATAAGGAATTTGCTGAAAATTGATGTTTTGGGGCGTAAGGTGGAGATATCGCAACTTGTCAGTATACCACAGCTCGAGTGCCAACCGCTCTTGGAGAACGAAGGAAAAAATGAATTAGCTAAAGGCTCAAACATTACACGACAAAGCCTAATCCCAGGATTTTCGTTTATCCATTAGTTCGTACTGAATCCGGATATGGTTATGTTCTAAAATTCGATAAAATGAAATTCTAGGACCGGTTTAGTATATCTCACTGGAATCTAACCAGGAAGAAGAATTGAAACCGTACAGTCACCGTGGATTCAAACTTTGGTAATAGGTTTAAGGCTGAAGTTCTCTATATCAGCATCATCAGTCAGCACGACCTTCATAGAATGTCGCTCTCTTCACTACATAGACGTGTCTCTCTTTCTCTGGAGAATACTACTGCACTGTGTGCTTTTATAATCAATGCGCCTTCAACGTCATGCACCTGCTTTGGCGGAGGTCTGCCTCTGAGTCGTTGTCTGGAAACAACATCCTTCATCACTGTTCCTTCTAGACCACCATAAAGCTTGCTATGTCCAAAATGCTCCAGCTTTCTGGGGACGATGCTGTTTATGAGCCAGTTCTTCTCGATGTTTAACTCTTTGAGTCCCACGGGGATTCAAATCACATGCCCAGGGGGTAGCAAAGAAAGTCATAAAATCAACGCATCTTGCGTTCAATGGGCTTCTAGGTAGGAAACTATGAACGTATGATGCGTTTCTTAGGACGAAGAGTTAAGACATGCATGTCAACGTTTTTCTTGTTCCTGGTCCGTGGTATTCGAAGAATTTGTTTCTCTATACCTGCGTCACTCAAATATAAGCACTATTTTAATTTGGGTGCTGGGGTGTTGGTGGATGTGAGGGTGAGGAAGAGTGGGGGAATAGCCCGAATATCAATGCCAGCAAATTACAAATTTACACATGAAAAACAGGTGAATATTTTATATGCGTGTGGTCGTCCGTTTTTGTGGCTACTGATGAACGCAGCTCAGTTCATAAAAGCACAGCCAGGCATCTCTGTTGTTCAGTTGCGAATATGCGAGCATTACTCAACTATCTACTGAAGCTGGCATCTTGTTTTTGTGTCTGTTTATGGGTACAACTCAGCGACTGAAAACAAATGTAGATAAACTTTTTGGTTACCATTGCCGCAAATGAGCAACACTTTTTGAATACATAGTCATGAAGACACTCGAGTACGCAACTTTTTTTTCTATTTTACCAAACAATAACTGAGTAAATACGATGTTGTGATTATATCTCCCCCACCCCCTTCCCCCCCCCCTCCCTTTTTTTACAGCAAAATATATGAGCACTGCTCAGTGAATTTATGGTCATAAAATTATACTGTCTCCTTTCTAGGGGGTCTCTGGTGAAGTGACCCAAGCCCTTTGCCTCGCGTACTTAAGCTTCGTGGGTTCGTTTCACGGCGTCACCCTTCTGTTAACGAGGGCAATTTTTACGGAGATTCCTAAGGATCGTCACTGGAGCTACGGAGGTCATGCTCTGTGCGACGCTCTCTGCTGGCAGCTAGCTGTCCTGCGGACAGAGACTAAGCCATATGGGATAAAACCCGGTGAAATGAAGTCGATCCTTTCACTTTTACCTTTACTGTTTCTTTTCTATGAGCAATAATGAAATAATGAATGGATCAATCAGTAACTTACTTCACTGCACTTGAGAAATTCCCATGTGTTTTGTCCCAAACCTCGATAGCCAAAAAAAAAGAGTTCTCACACAGAGGATACCAGTTACGACCTTATTGAAAGTTCGTTCTGCTCAATCGAGTTTGAACCATTTATTCGAAATATCAATACTCTGTCGGTTCTGTTGTACTATCCGAAATGAGCACAAAGAAAATATTTTGGGAATAAACGCAGTTGGTAGTATGTTGATCACAACTACAGTCGAATGCCCTTTGGCCTATTAAAAAAAAAAATTATTATAGAACCAGGTTCCCAAAACACGAAATGCGTTAAAAGGATCCTTGCTTTTCCCCGGTTATTATTATTTCGTACCACTAATAAGCCGTGTCATATTTTTTAAGCTTTGCCTATGTAAAAGTAGTGTTACAGTTAATTTACATTCCAGAATTGTCTTCATTTTTTTCTTCCGCTGTGTCCTTGACAAGCCGTCACAATTTTCTTTACATTACAAATATAATTTTGTTTTCTCTAGCCTCGTCGCCCACCACCCCTCCTACCCCCCCCCCCCGACCCCGCCAACTTTCTCTTTTCCTGTCTCTGCGCCCCTTTAGATTACCTCCATGACAACGCTGTTATTATACGCTAAATCATGGAAAACATTTCAGAGGGCCGACAACCGAGACATGGCTACGAATATCAGCATGGGCAAGAAGGTTGGAATAAGAACATTGACAGACAAGGAATGAAATAGTTCAGCCATCTAGTGAGAATGCAGTCAAAACTATACTGCAAAGGAGACATTTTACAGTAGAACATCTGGAAGGAAGGCGAGAGGAATACCAAGAAAATTATGGGAAAATTATGCAGATAAAAACTGAACAAAGGATACATAAATCCATCACTCATACCACCCGAGAAGCGCAAGACAAATACAGAAAGCCACGCCACTGGTTGACAACCTGGTATCAGTGCGACGACAAAACAGGAAACACAACCGAGAAATAAGACAGTAACGCATAAAGACAGCATACAGGGTCAACAACTTTCGGGCAAGAAAATGTTCCTTCTGCTTACTGACCGCGCTCACTGTTTAACTGACTGACCGAACAAATCTCAGGTACCTCGTTCAACCTTCTAAGATGGTTATGCTTAGGGCATCTCATGGCTACATTAATTACTAGTCTGATGTATCTTGGCAGCCTAAGTGAGTTACTTTCCACCCCGTCAGGACCACGCAGCGAACGATAACACCCGGTGACACAAAGTGCCACCATTCGGATGAGAATTGGCTGCAAGTCTCAGAAACCCCGTACAACCGTTAGGTTGTATTAGGGCCCCTGACTACAGCCAGGGTGGGGCTTTAAAAAACATTGCGTCCTATATTGGGGTGATGTCTGAATTCACAGGCAGCCTAAAAGGACAATTAACAACAGTCTATGGGTAACGAGCTTCTGAGATTTAATGTTACTGATGTATTCTGTTTCTTCACAACTAGAATATCTATACTCTGTTCAACCTCTAAGAGATATTTTTTAGGCGCCCAATGGTTACACAAAGTATTGTCGTGCTGTACTCATTTGTCTACGGCGAGTGAGATTGTCTCTTTCGTAAACAGTAAATATATTCACATAATTTCTAATTTTCTTAGTTTACCAGAAAAAAAAATGATTTTAGCATATTTTTCCTAAGGGGGTTACTTTAACACATCCAACCTCACTATATACTAGGCATTCACATGCGTGCTAAGTCCTTCGATATAGCAGCCACCGAAAAATAAATTTACTGACTGTTTCAATGAGAACCAGGGGGCTGCGTGGTCTGGGAGCACAGTGTCAGCCTCGAGTGCTAGAGGTTCCGGGTTTAATCCCTGGTGAGGACTGAGATTTTTTCACGTGGACCTGGACTTCTAGTAATTTCCCCTGGTCTCTTGGTAGTGAGATCAGACGCCCGTGTGCATTGGTGCGCGTGTAAAAAAATCGCTTGGCAGTTGGAAATCGAAAAGAGTAGCCTGACGGGGCTGCCTGCGCCAAATTTGGAGTTAAAAATCTACCCAAAGTATTTCAGGAACCTCGCTGGTGCGTGAGCTACTGAGCTACTTCGTACTCAAGACTTGAGTTAGAAGTAGAACGGAGCATTTGTGGGTTACTACCCGTGTGCCATAATGTTGATCCGTTGTTCAAACCCCGAACCCTTCTGTGAGAACCTGGTTACTGTGTCTCCCATCTTGACACCGAAGACAGCACCGACGTTCTTCACCAGGCTTCACTCGAAGATCGTGTTGGCAGCAGAGATTTGTTACTATCCGCCTGTCCAATTCGGTCAGCGCTGATGGTTTCTGCTCTGTCTATGCTTCTTCTGGCATGCGTTAGTGCAATGCTTGCCAGCTTAACCGCTCGATTATGATTATACCCTGGCATGCCAAGGTGTGTAGATCCAGGTAAGAGAGGTTCATTATGATTTCTGAATGCTTTCTACCCATTCTGAGCGTATACTACCTGTTAAAATTTCCGGAAGTATATTCAAGGAGTCTGATATGATAGCTACCTGTGTGACTGCTTGTTCTGCTACTCATACTAGTGCTCTGGAAACAGCAGTTATGTCCATTGTCATGCTTGACGTAGCTGCCTAGTAGGCGCCACTATCCTCTTTTATTATTTTCCTACCTCTAGTGTTGTGCATGCCCATGCTGATCTACAACTGCCCTTCAACGATGCCTCTTTGAAAATGATGATGTTTTCTATGCGCGTAATCTAACCTATCAATGCCCTTATCTCGGTATCAAAAGCTGCAAGAATCTAGTTACGTCAGTATCTCTCTATCGTGATGACAACGTTAGAAAGGCCGTGAATGTCTATCTGTACATCCGTCAATTCGTTGCCATGACTGATCTTCTCCAGTCCATATATTTGCTGGATTACATTTTCAGCCTCCGTCAGCCAGGAGTGGCCTTTTTTGATACACATTCCTTTCATGTCGTCCATAAGCTTTGTGCTGTGGATAGTTAAAGTCTACATTGCACATCAAACCACTGAGTCCATAAATGCTCAGACCCCACACCTATCAGTAAATATGGCAACGTGTAGCGGCTGATGACATATTTACTAACGTATAAGTGATAGAAATACTAAGTATAACACCAAATATGACTAGAAAGCTCAACGGAGGAAATGGAGAAGTCGAACAAAAACAGGCTAATTAAAAAAAAAAAATTTCATAATTCAAATATAATTTAATTTAATAAAAATTGGGATAAATAAACTTTGCGTATTTCCCACGAGTTTGTAGCATACGCGAAATTGTATAGTCTGCCAAAACTGCAAAACATTCACGTAGTTAAGAGAAGAAAAAAAACATACTTACAGCTAACTTTGAATAGACGAAGACACTCCCCATCAGTTGAAACAGACATGTAAGGCAGGCCCTAGCCCTGGCCGAAGCAAGCATGACTGCTAGCGAACACAGAATATAAGTCCAGGTTGTTACAGAAAACTAAAAATTCACAGCTCAGCCCAATTGTGTGTCCATACAGTGCCGTATTCGCACTTACAAATCAGCGTGTATTTGTAGTTTACATTTTACACAGCTTTTTATAACCAGATGTATATTAAGAATATTATCGATTATACACAACTACGGGTAAGGATTTCAAATTTTTGTTTAATTCTTCTACAAATCTCTAAATTGTAATATTTCAATCACAATTTTACCCACACAAAAATTAGGGAAAAAAATTTAATAAAATAGATTAGTAGCATTAAAGTTAGATCTCTGTATACAACAATAGAAAGGAGGCCCGCTCTCTAGCGTAGTTGGCTAAACTTGTGGTCCGGGTTCACTCCCGGGAAAAGGCAGAAAAGCCACATTTCTCCCAGATTTACGGTATTATTTACAATGGAATCAAGGCCGAAAGGTTGCGATATCCATAATACCGAGCCTTAGGGTTAACAACTCATGGCTTCTAGATACTAAAACAAACAAACAATAAAAAGGAGACAAACACTGTTCTTTGGCCACGTAATGAGAAGAGAGACACTGGAACACATCGTGACAACTGGAAAAAATAGTGGAAAGAGGGGTAGAGGCAGACCAAGGTATATGATGCTGGATGGGCTGAAAAGATGGTGTGGAGATATATCATCAAGAGACCTGTTCCAGGCAACCAGGGATCATGATCTATGGAGATATGTGAGCGCCTACGCCAGTTGGCAGGGCACGTGATGATAATGAGCATTAAAGACACTGTACATCCGTACGGAAGGACTGATAAGAATGCTATCGATCGAGCTTCAGACCGTCAGACTGTCCCCCCCCCCTCTCCCAATGCTTAATGTCAGAAGTGGAAGTTGACGATAATAATAACAAGAAAACAGTACTGCCAATTGCCAGTTACAACCATTATTATACCAATTCTGTCGTGTTCGGCGAAGGGGAGTCTTTGAACCTGAGGGTTTACGGCCGCATGGCTAGTGCTGTCGCCACGACTGTGCAGGTGAGGATTTTATTTTGAACCCGACAGCCTTACTGAGGACTCGAACCCTGGTCTCCCGCTTGAGAGCCCACCGGTCTAACCGTTCGACCAGCCGCTCCTCAGGAAAAAAATACGCTGTATACAATTTCTATCTCCCAAGCGCAATCAATTTACAGTTAACACTTATATGGTAAGCCTCAAATGGGTACTGTTAGAGTCCTGGGAAGTAAAGGCAGCCCGCGTGGTGTTGACCATATCACCTCACAAGGGCAGGTTGATCTATAACAATGTGAGTCTTGCCTCATATGCCAGATGCACCACAGGCGTGTTAAAGGACCTTCGAGCAAGGTAAAAGTGAGAGGATCGACTTCATTGCACAGGGTTGAATCCCATATTATTCAGTCTCTTTCCGCAGAACAGCTAGCTGCCTGCCGAGAGAGGATCTCCGTAAAAATTACACTTGTGAACTGAACGGCGCCGCCGGGACACGAATCCACGACCTTCAGAGCGTAAAGCAAACGGCTTGACCACTTCGCCATGGAGACCCTGTTGCTTATGTGATATCCAGATTAATATGTCCAAAGGAAACCTTAAAACGCACTTTAACAAGAGAGGTCAAAGGTGATGGACTGGATTCTATCCAAGATATGGAAGCAATCGCAAGAAAGAGAAATGAATGGGCGAATACACTGTGAGTTCTACATGCCGTGTGACAATACATCGGGATAAATGATGATGTTTTGATTATCCCACGTTTATACACCCATTTATATAAAGATTCAATTTAATTCTTACTGAGTTTGGAGATTGTGTGAAAGTTTCTAGATTTCAGCAGACAAATTTACACGTTTGCGATAATATATAATCAAGATTTAGTAAATAATCAAGTAAATGAAGTACTAAGAACTCCTTCTATGAATAATTATTTACTGTTATCAGTGCAGTTTTTTTCTCTTAAATATATATATATATATATATATATATATATATATATATATATATATATATATATATGAGGATGTCTCTACGTTAAGAATGTACTGATAAAAATATGTGTGTATTAATATTTAATATTATAATTTCACACGTACACAAAATTATGTAGAAGTATATGTTACACAAACTTTCGCTTTCACAAAATGCATACGAACTCTAATAGTTCACAGTTGACAGTTCTACTAAAATACAGTTGTGTCTACTTTCTAGCAATTCAAATCCAACTTCTACTAGAGATTACATTCGATGTTTATTTCAGTGTATCTATACAATTAATTCACATAACTATTTTTTTTAAATTTATTTTTTTTTCCTAACTTATTTACACATATAGTTTTTTTTTAATAAATATATCTTTTATTTAACACACATGTTATACAGATGACTCCAGAGACGTTCACGAAATTTTGCTAAAACAGAAAGAAACAATTTTACACTGAAATGCGCGCGCCTTCGTGTTACTCACTGCGCACGACTTGAAACCAACAAGGCATGCCTTTTTTACGCACCGCTAACAAGCCAAGTGTTTGTATTGGCCTTGGCTAAGAATCTCTAAAGACGACGTTATCCGAGCAATCAGAGAGCGCTAAAACAAAGCTGCTGTGTGATTGCTTTTTTTTTTCTTACAACAGCGCAATGTCTGTCTATGTTGTTTATAAATTTAATGTTATTGACCTAGTTCTGTCTGCTTCGTAGAGGCAAAAAACGAAATGTAATTGGATTTTTTTCTCCAAAATTTGCAAAAGATAAACAGTTTTGCTTAGTGCATTTAGTACAGAAATGTACGCACCGTGGGCCATGTATTTGGAGAGTTATGTAACATCATATGTGTATGAGAGAGAAGGAGGGAGAGACAGAGAGAGAGAGAGAGAGAGAGAGGGGGGGGGGAGAGAGAGAGAAGGAGAAACACTCAAACACACACACACAGAGTGAGTGAGTGAGAGAGAGAGAGAGAGAGAGAGAGAGAGAGAGAGAAGGAGAAACACTCAAACACACACACTCACACACAGAGTGAGTGAGAGAGAGAGAGAGAGAGAGAGAGAGAGAGAGAGAGAGAGAGAGAGAGAGAGAGAGAAGTGTACGTGTATGTGTATGTGTGGCCCACCAACACTAGACTACATATTATATCGAAACCGTTTGGTGGTACCCGGATTTAACACCGTGCTACAGGGACTTGTACCAGTTTGATTCTCATTCTTGAGTTGTTAAAACCACCGAGTGCAATCCTGGAAAGGGAAAACGCCGTGGCGTTGGTAGCTAAACGCCCACCAGTGGATAGGAAGGCTGTGGGTTCGCGTCCTGACGGAGCCAGACTTTTTTTTTTTAAATGATCTTGACTCCTAGGTCGACCGAGCCTTGAGTATCAGGCTCAGTTCTGGGAAGTAAAGGCGGCCGGCGTAATGCTGACTACATCACTAACCAAGTGCCTATTGGTCTATAAAATTATAGGTCTAGTCCTATATTGCCAAAATGCATATATGCATGGAAAAAAGACCTTTAATTGTTACTTCTTTTCTTGATATTAACTCCACCCAGGTCACATTCTCCGCCCCGCTTCCCCCTTCCTGTCCTTTTCCCGTAGTGTAACTCAGTGATATTCAAATTTGGCCTACGGGGGGCATAGCATGTGGCCCGCGGAAAATTGCCATTTGTATTGTGTTAATGATCTTTCTACACTGGTGCTCGAGTCTCTGGCCCGTGACACACCCAATTTTTGAAATTGTGGCCCCTGAAAAAAACTTAGGTCAATGGCCCTGGTTGATGAAGGAAACACAAGCAGCTCCCATATGAACTAGCCAAACAAAACACTGACCAGTTTTAAAATACGTCGTCAGTTGACTAATTAAAAAAAGAGAGAGAGAGTTTAAAAAAAAAACATTCGGTTTATTTGCTAATTCAGATTCGATAAGAATTAACATTTGTAGAGATACATAATCTTTCAATTGGAGTCAACTACTAGTAGAAGTAGTATATTTTACCCCACTAGGACATGACACAAGCGATAAACACCCGATAACACAAAGCGCCACTATGTGGATAAGGATCACCTGTGCAGAGGTCCCAGAAACCGCGTTGAGCCATTAGGCCATATATATGGCCGGGCTATATTGCGGTTCCTGACAAGAGCCAGAGTAGGGCTTCAACATAACAAAAAACTGCATACCACAAGAGGATGACGGAGATTTTGGCTAGACAAAAACTCTTGGAAGGATAATAAATAGGCAGACCTACAAACGTTTGGAGTCACAAACTAAAAATGAATGGAGGCGGTTGGTATATGCTACAATGAACCTCAAGGATTCAGAAAGTTGAGATTAGCAATCATTAACAGCTTTGTTGATTGGTACGCTGTTCTACAAAAAAGAGACCAAGCCATCGAAGATTATTTAAAAACAAACATCATGGCGCAATGAAATCTGTCCTCTCGTCTATGAACATCTTCAGTAAGGGGGTCTTTGATGCTATCTAAGTTATATGATCTTCAATGAATCTAGATAGATATATAGATAGACTTTCTACCCCACCAGGACATCACACAAGCGATAAACACCCGATGACACAAAGTGCCACTATGTGGATGCGGATCACCGTGGAGAGGTCCCAGAAACCGCGTTCAGACAATTGGCCATATTTATGGCCTGCCTATATTGCGGCCCCTGGCAAAAGCCAGAGTGGGGCTTCAAATAACAAAAAATTACGTCCTAAAAAGGACTATATGATTATTACAGCATTGATGCAATTAGTTAACCAATGAATCTATTATTTTTCTGTAATCTGTAATCACACGATAATGAACATCCACTGGGTTCATGAACATCGAATACTGTCCCCAGTGGCATTAAACCATGTGTAAATAAACACAGAGTGCTGATGGTCTGTAAAAATATGGGACGCTCTGCCCATATGCCCGATGCGCCGAAAGGCGTGAAAAGGGAACTTTACTTTTTACTTTTTTAAATAAACAATACAATACACAGTT